AGGGGGGTAAAATGATAAGAGACAAATTTGTATCTACACTAAGGATGGTTACATAATTTTTTTTTACATCATTATGGTTACATTTTTCCCTACAAATTTAAACTTTCATTGTGCCCCCCCCCCCTCCCTACTCATGGGGTCATGATTTGAACAAATTTGAGTCTAGCTCTCTGAGGATGCTAATTCATATAAATATGCCCAACCATGGTTTTGCTGTTCTTGAAAAGAATTTTTTAAAGATTTTTTTTTTAAATACCTAATTTAAACTTTGATCACCCATTAATGTGCCCCTCCCTACTCCTGAGGGTCATATGATTTGAATCTACAACACCTGCATATGCTTTAATATAAATATGTTCAATCATATTAAACTTTCCTGTTCTTGAGAAGATTCCCTTAAATAATATATTTCTATGTTAAAACCTGAATGTCCATTGTGGCCCCACCCTACCCATGAGGGTCATGATTTGAACAAATTTTAATCTGTGCAATAATTTGATTATTGATAATTGATTTTCAATGATGCCTTTCATTTTCCACTATTTCCTATTAACATGATTAATCTCCCCTTCGAGTAGTGATGGGGAATCGGAAAAAAATCATAATCGATTATCGGTAAAAATCGGCTGGGCATAATCGATTAATAATCGATTATAATCGAAATTCTGAACTTTAATGAAATTAATATAGAAAAATTGAATTTTATTTAGATTTCTGTCAGACTTTTACCAAAAAAAAAAAAAACATTTACTTACATAAAATATTCAAAAATTTTAATTGAAATTTCTTTTTAAAAAGTGGAAATTAATATTTTGTTTACTTTAAACAATATAGGATTAATGAAACAGAAGTGGAATTTATTTTTTTATAAAGTCCATGCAATGGGTATTTTACTGATATTAGTCCAACCTTTAATTTAATACATGTACATATTTATTTCTTAAAATTAGTTTTAATTAGTTCAAATTGCAAGTTTTAAAAGTAATTATCCAGAAGTTAGACTTGTATTTATGATTATAATTCAGGGCTCGACATTAACACTTGTCCGCTTGTCCGGTACCAATGAAAAATAAATTCGGACAAGTGAATATTGCTGGGCACTTGTCCGATTGGACAAGTGCATTTTAATGTAAAGGGGTCTCTAAATAATAAAAAGAACGACTGTTGAAAGCTAAATCGGTAGTTTCAAGACGGAAGCTGTACATAAAATCCTAACTTCGATCCCGATATGTATCGCTATATTAATATTGTGTTCACATTCGATCGGGATCGAAGTTCACTAATTGCATACTAAAATGAAAAGTCATGGAAGATACGAACCGAAGTGTGAATATTGTTTGATGTTGACAGGTTCACTTGTGGACATTTACGTTATTGTCAGGACAGAAAGCCTAGGAACGACTTTACTTTACCGGTCCCCAGAAAAACGCGCTAAAATGTAGTGTCGCCGAAGGCGACTTCAGTATATATGAGATCGCGTGAGCGATCGAAAAAAAAATTAAATACGAGGTTTTTTGGCCTTTTGACCCAAAAAATGAATTCTACGGTTAAAAGTTTAGTTTAAAACTTCGTTTTTAAACGTAGTTTTTAACCTCAATCTCTGAAAGAAATTAATAAATATTGTTTATTCATGGAAAAAATCGTCAAAGAATAATTCTGAACGAAGCGCGTGCGGCGCATGCTTAGTGTCATTTCTTTCGGACTTAGCCATTCTTCCATGTAAACAAACGAACGAAATGTCTTTAAAGTTGAATTATATGATCTTCGAAAAATTACAGAAACAACTGAATTTCTTATCTTATGTAAAAGAACGAGTTACTAACCCTAATTCATCGATGGTATGCAAGGACTAAGACGTTCAGACGAAATCTCCCGGGCAGATGCTAAACTAACCCTAATCAGTCGAATAATGTGCGAGGACTAACCCTAATCTCTCGGATGGACGCGAGACTAACCGAAATCAGTCGAATACTAGTGCAAGAACTAACCCTAATCTCTCAGGTGGGTGCAAGACTAACCCTAATCAGTCGAATAGTGAGCAAATTTAACCCATTTCAGTTGAGTGACATAGCCGTTACGTCATAGTCCAATAAGCGCGAGGATCTTGTGGATCTGGGGCCCGATAAAGTAAAGTCTACCCAAAGCGTAAATTAAATTTCGTTTTATGTGTCTGTTGTACCGGTATTTATCAATAACATCAAGAATCAATCAAGCGCATGACATGTGTAAATAAAATGGACTTAATTTTAATTTTCAAGTTGAAACTATTGAACTTTATTGAAAATTTTTGGACAAGTGAAGTTGAGATTCGGACAAGTAAATGCCTTGGTCACTTGTCCGAATGGACAAGTAGGAAAAAAAGTTAATGTCGAGCCCTGTAATTACGTTTAAAGATTGACTAGACTAATTATGTTTTCCTTTACTTGCAATATTACCGTTTCCTGGTATTAGTCTAACCCAATATTTAATCATGGCGGTAAAAGTATTGACAAGACACGGGATGCTTCCATGTTTTCAACATTCATCACTACTTTTATGCTCTTTGCACTTGGATTTGGTAATAAAATTAAAGTATGATAATTTTATTTTTTGTTAGCGATGTCGGCGACATTTATTTTATAATCGATTAGTAGCATCGAAGAGCTTCTAACGACCGACAATTGATTGTCGCCGACAATCGTTCCATCACTACCTTCGAGGTCAGGGTGCCCCTTCATTTGAACAAACTTGAATCCCTTTCACTCAAGAAATTACTATATGTGTCAAGTTTGGTTCATATTGGCCCAGTAGTTCTGGAGAAGAAGATAAAATTGTGAAAAGTTTAAATTGTGAAAAATATGAGATTTCCCTGTCTATGATATCCATATGTTGTTCTATGCAAGCAGATTACACTTTTTCTTACATTTAGAGAAATATGCAAATGTATCACAGTATCACTTCAAGCAATTGTGTCAACAAAGCGAAACAGATGTGTGATTAGTCCAGAAACTCTTTCAAAGCAGTCAATGGAAAAAAAAATTATTTCCAACTTTAACAAATATATCCAAAGTGCAAAGCATCAAAGTGTGAAGTATCTTGGTGGGGTATGCTCTAAGTTTCAGTAATTTACCCAACTAGGTATATCTCACAGTTTCCATGAAATTTGCTCAGAATACCCGCAGAAACAATATAATTTTTCACAGTGAAAAATTACAATATACATCATGTATATTGAGAGGTCAATTGAACTTATGAAATATTTTGATAGCTTTCAGGAATAAACCCCATATTGCAAGCCAGAGAAATATTTTGCAGTTGCGGATCTAGTTTCAATTTAGATTTAGATTGACTTTTACTTCATGTAACTATATTAGACATCTGCCTATGTATGGTGCACTAATTTGAGCAAAATGAAATGATATAAAATTTGATGAAAAGAGCTATCATTTTTTTTATATTGTCCACAACAAAAGTGCTATGCACAGACAGAATAACAGACAAACAGATGGACAAAAGGACAGGCAGAGCTAAATCAAGATCCTTCATTGAAGGGGGGATTAATGCATGGCTGTCTACATTTTGGTTATTACTAAATTGTTTCTTAAGAGTTTGTATGTTGTTAAATGTCCCTCCCTAGAATTTTTCACTCATATGGAGACGCCAACATGCTGCAAATTTTGTCCTATAATTCAGCACTCAGGCTATTGTGCCGTGAGGGATCTTTTACATGCCAGCACCTACAGCAACCACTGCACCACTAGTACATGTAGTAAAAGCAAGATTAAACTTCCTGTACAGTACTGTGAAGACTGAGTTCACTAAATGATACCCCCAGTCCATGCCTCCCATATCATTATAATTGCAAAGTGCATGTTTTGCTCTGGGAAACAGAAACTAACTCTCAGATCAAAAAGTAAAATAGGAGATGCACAATGACATTATGTGACAAAGCCTTACTATATTCCATTGAGCTGTGTAGGAGAAATTGCGGATAAGAGAAGGGTACTCCAAAGTATAACAGACGGACCGACGAATGCACAGAAGGACATAAAAACAGACAGACATACAGACACCCCATGGACTTTATACCCTACCACTTTTCAAGCTGGGGGTATAATGAAGGGGAAAAACCTGCTGGGGGGGGGGGGGGGGAGTCTGACTGTACAATAGTAGTGGAGTAGGTCTTCCTAGGGAAGTGTGGCTGGAGAGTTCAACTTCACACGGGGGACTCCCATTCTGAATAGGGCTGGGACGATATATCGAGATATCGATATATCGTGATATCTGTGAGGACGATGCATATCGATACATATGAAGAAATATCGATGTATTGCCAAAAAAATCTGACTTTTATTTTTCTTTGTTTATTTAACATTTAAGGTTTAATATATAAAGTAAATAAGATAAATATAAATAGAGATATGAAATAAATAATAATTAACACCACTTGAGTACAATATTTTTGCTTTACAACATATAAACAACTATTTTGAATAAATTATTCTTATTTGCAAAGAAATAATTTGTTTATTTCAATGCAAAAACAGATTTTATAAGCAATTAAACATATCGTGATACATATCGTATCGTGGCTCAAATATCGTGATACGTATCGATATAGAAAAAGTTGTATCGTCCCAGCCCTAATTCTGAAGTCATAATTCCTCCAGGCGGAAGTTTCATTCTATAGCCAGGCTTCCCGGGGGAATCTGACTATGGGGGAACTACAACTTTGGGATAAGAACATGAAGAATTCCCCTCGGGTAGGGGGGGGGGGGGGAGTCACACTATAGAGCCAAGCTTCCAGGGGGAAGTCTGATTGTACATGTAGGGGAAGTCTCACTCTGCAACAGGAGTACTGGCATTTTGAAAAATGAACAATGACAGACAGACAGACACAATAAAATGTATATTCTCCTTTGACCTATAATTTTGGAAGGTGTAATAAGTGCATAAAATATGAATACAATGCACAATACCACAGAGGTACCCAAAAAACACTGTAACATCTGGAAGCCTACCTTTGTACGACCATTTATGGTACAGTCTTTCAGTTTCTTAGTGCATTTTAAAATCACTGCATCCATGGATGAAATTAAAAACTGAATGTTTGAGCAGCCTGGCTCACGTCCATCCACCCAAGTGATCAAATCATCACGGATTCGCTGTGCATTAGATCCAAGACTGCGGTTGACCAGTTCCCCGCTCGTCATTTTATCCATCTTGTGAAGCGTCTTGACTTCTGCCAGAATAGATAATCCTTTTGTCTCTCCTAAAAAGTTGTCCATAACACAAATTCCATAAGTATGGAGACACTTCACAACGTAATCTCCTAACATTTCATTTCGAGACTCTAGAACACTGAGGTATGCATGCATGTTGTCGACGGGCTCATCTTCGTAAGAGCGGACGGAGGGGGTGTAACGTAGTTCTTGACTGTGGGACGAGATCTGGGCTGGGGGTTTGTGGTACACGGGCTCGTTTAGTGCAGACTCGGCTGAATGAAGAATGTACGACTCGGAACTCCCTTCATCTGTCAGGACCTTACGTCCTGAGCTGCTGGACTGACTGGTGTAAAACTCTTCCGATATTTTCTTCTTGATAGGTTTATCATCTGTCAGCTTTAAATCATCATGTAAACTTTGGCTCATTTTATTCATGTTCTGGGTCATTGCCTCGGCAGACATTTTTTGCGCGATGCCATCACCTTTGTAGCGTGGAATCTCCAACGATGAAGGAGTTAACGTGATGCCATGCTTGTGTTTAGTTTCCCCCTCCTCCTCTCTCATTCGTTTACAGTTTTTCTTGTGATATTTCCAGTCTAGTTTTTGGTGCTCTTTGGAACAATACCAAGTTCTCCTGCACCCTGAGCAGACCATTAGCCGCTCGTCGGAGCTGCATAACTGACACGCCATGGGGATGTTCGCTCCGTCACGTACGCTACTCACCTCGGCCATGTTTACATTCATGCGGAATTCCTCGTGGCTTTACCTTGACAGTTGGGTAATGAATATTTAACCAAATAGCAAGGCGGACGTGATGATTTCGGCATATTGATTCCACTAAAGTGAAGTGTCTCCTTCTAAACGATTGTAATCAGGAAGAATTACCATCTCAAGGTAGCCCTGTAACACGGACGACTGACATGCGAACACTGTGCTTTCTAGAAAAAAATAACATAAAATTAGAAATGATAACGTTAAACGTCGATCCGGGATGACATGAATTCTAAGTGTGAAGTAGTTTCTCACGTCTAGCTTATATATAACCAAGAAAATTGTTTATAAAACAATACACATGTACATATATAGAGAATATAATGTTGAGGGGAGTATGTATAATTTCACTCAGAACTGGATACAAATATACAGTAGATTTCGTTTAATATAAATGTGTACCATGTACATGGTACACATGCCATGGTATATATCGATGCAAGTATATTAATTAGAGAGAGAGAGAGAGAGAAAAAAAGTAAAAAAGAAGTTACTAAAATCAAAAACTAAAATTAACAAATAAGTAAATGAATTTTAAAAGGATTTAATAAAACCATGTTTGGATGGCGGAGAAGACAAAAAATTATAATTATATATTTATTTATTATTATATTTTTGCAAGAAATTAAATACTAGTATATGAGTTTAAATTTTTTTTTACTTACGTAAGAAAACAAACTTGACCTTGTTGTGGGTGTTTCGTGATCATTTACTCTAAAATTAACGCCGCGTTTTGTTCTAAATTCCCAACTCGGCAAAAATCAGTGCAGCCGGATTGCGCTGCGACACGTGCATGTTTAAAGAAAAAAATGCATTTGTACAGGTGTAACCATGTATACGAGAGAGCTATATGCTTGTTCCTTAATATTTTTTAGTGCAGTAAGAAAATAAACATATGTAACTTAATTAATACTTCTTATTTATATTCAAAGTGTCAAATATTAAACAATATTATTTGTTATACCTTTCAAAATTTGTTCCGATATACAAATATATACATTATTTGTCTTTAAAAAGTCTAACATTTCTAATGTTTGCAGACCGGGCATAAAAAAAAACGATGTTTGACCACTGAGTGAGATGTTGGACCGGTTGAAGAGATGTTGGACCGCTTTCGTCACAGAATGGGCGGAGCTTAATCTCATTTTCATTCGTTGGTTTTCAACAGTGCATGCATTACGGATCGACAAGATGTTACACCACGGGAGATAGTACAGTATATATATATATATATATATATTTATATATATATATATATATATATAGAAAGCACAAAGAAATTCACTTTTACATGGATACCCACTTCCGCCCCAGCCCGGGGTTGAACTCTCGACCTTCGGAATCTGTCTCCTAGCAGTATAGGAACAGCGCGCTAGACCGCTCGGCTATCTAGGCAAGTTAAAAAACTTGCTTTCGATGCCGATGGAATTCTCGCGGCGCTGCCCTACACTACACGGTCATTGAGAATAGAAGTGAGATACAGTTATTGGACATTAGTTTTAACAGAGGATTGTTATCAATACATGTTGTAATGAAATTAATTACTATTTATAAAGCACATTTTACAACAACTCTGAAACTAATATAACTGCCCTAAGTGAAGAAATATTAATATAGAAAGCACAAAGAAATTCACTTTTACATGGATACCCACTTCCGCCCCAGCCTGGCATTTCTAAATTTCATTTAGTAATTTCCAAGTAAGTAAAAACAACTTACTTGGAAATTACTAAATGAAATTTAGAAATGCCGGGCTGGGGCGGAAGTGGGTATCCATGTAAAAGTGAATTTCTTTGTGCTTTCTATATTAATATTTCTTCACTTAGGGCAGTTATATTAGTTTCAGAGTTGTTGTAACATATATATATATATATATATAAAGCACTAAAAATGACCAACGACACGAACAATAAAAATTGTCAAATTTTCGGGACGCCCTGTCCCTTCCTCAGGACTAAGAAAAGAGTTAAAAAGTCACAAAGGAAAAAGCGAAACAAAAAACAACTAGCACTACTACTAAACACTATATATTTACATACTAAGTTACATGTTGATTTGGAAATTTTTAAGAACACTATTAAAGAAAGAATCCGGACCGCTATGAAATGCGTCCGGTCTATCGGGTATACTCGGGTGAAGTGCGATTTACATAATTGAACGAATTAATTATGCTAATTAATTACGACAATCAGTAAATCGTACATTGTTTCATTCTCTCAAAATGGCGTAACTATACTTGATAAAGAATAACCAAAGAAAAATAATATAGAAGGGGCATTTTAACATATGAATTATGATCTATTATAAATTTTAATTTGAAATGTTTTAGGACTGATTATCGGTAAAAAATAATTAATAATTAATTAACAAAGGCGTAAGCAATACATAGTTATGTGGGTTGTTCGAGAGTTGGTGACGCAAATTAACTGTGGAGTTTACACTAAATTGAGAGAATAATCTTGTTTGGTATCATCAGGAATCGGGTCTAGTTTACGTTCATTCTGGTGAAGTCATTCAGTTTGTTAATACCATTGGGGCGGAATGACTTCAATCTGTGCATCCAGAACTTTTCTTTGCTTTTTCTCTGAGCGTCTGTCCATCTTGGGTTATGATCAATCACCACTACTGTCATGTCCTCCCATTTGTGACCCTCAAGGTTGAAATGTTCCCCAACGGGTTCATTGAGTTTTTTGGTCCTAATGGTCGAACGGTGGTTATTGACTCTCCTGCGGAGATCTCCTGTTTCACCAATATACTGTTTGGAGCAAACTTTGCAACTGATGAGATAAATGCAGTTGTCAGTATGACAGGACAAACTTCCTAGTATTTTGTAGTTGCGGCCTGTAACAGGGCTGTTAAATCTGTCTGTGTCAGTGCTGTGCTTACAAAGAAGACATCTTCTGTCAGAGCAAGTCTTAAAGCCCCCGTTAGGTAATGGGTTGTCCAGTCTGGTTCTTACTACCATGTCCTTTAGGTTCCTAGGGCGTCTGTATGCAGCCAATGGGGGTTCCTTAAAGACCTCTGCCATTCGTTTGTTTGAATGTAGAATTGGTAGGTTCTTTTGAAGGATACCGCTTAGGTTCTTAAGGACGGGATGGTATGTGGTTACCAGAGGGACCCTACCGATATTTTCTTTCTCTTTGTAGCGTAATAGGTTTTGCCTGTCATGTCCCGCCATCTCATCAATAGCTGTTTGTACGTTGCGGGCATTGTAGCCTCTTTTGCATAGGTGGGACTTAAGAAGACCACTTTGCTCCTGATATAAGCCAGGGGACGAACAGATGCGTCGAATTCTGGTGGCTAGACCCTTAGGCACTCCCTTAAAAGTGTGTGGGGGATGACAGCTAGTGGGCATGCTTTGTGGCAAGTTTGGTTAAAATTGGCCCAGCCAACTTTTAAACTTTTAAAAAGTCTTCCTCTCAAGAATAACAAAGCCATTGTAATGGACAACCTGTATATTTTATTTTGAATTCCAATTTAGTCCGTAACTTTCGATTTCTGTATTTTCCAAATTTATCCGAATGATACTTTACTATGATGTTTACCAAAATTGCACGAGCGCCATATTCAGTGTAAAGTTTTAACTGAAAGTTATTGAAAGTACCAGACATACATCACGGTAATTATCTATTGATTGTTTATTACATTCTGCCGGCTGTTTATATTTACTTGTTTCGTTTAATTGAAGTAGGAGTTTCTAATAATATCAATGTTTACAAAGTTAAATGTAAGGAGCGCTTTTCATGTCATGATTTATACAGATAAAAAGTTATATTATGTGTACATTTAGTATTGAGTAGTATTATTCATTATGTTTAAATTTATTTTGTAGTCAATCTATGTCTATGTCAGACACATCGAAGGATTTCTATGTGAATATAAATAAAGGACATCGAATTGAACCTGTACTGTCTTTGGTACTAGAGTAGAGAACACACCATTGACGTGATTCCGTCGCTGAACGGTCCAGGTTATGAGCATAATGCCTGCTACAGAAGAAACAGAACCGGGAACACGAAACAGAAAATTGACTGAAAAAGGAAGAGAATATAAACATGAACAGTACAACAAAATTTTCAGAACACTGAGGTTAACAAGTGGTGCGATTAGACAGCTTATTTCTGATAATGAATCTCCAGAAACAGTAAGAAAAAAGTATGCTTCTTGGCTTGAAGATTATGAACATTTTCTTGTGATATTTGATGAACTTGTACCTCAATTTACCGACAAGAATGAGAAAGAAGAATTGCTTAAGGCTCATTATGACTATGATGTGTTCCTCATGAACTTCAAGAAAGAAATAGAAGAGTTCTTTTCCAAAAATCAGAGTGTTAAGGAGGAATCACAAAAGTCCAAGTCTCACACATCTATAGCATCAAGTATTTCGTCCAAGCGCCTTGAGGAGGAACAAAGAGTAGCTGAGTTGAAAGCTCGCAAGGCAGCACTCTTCCATAAGAAGGAACTAGAGCTAGCAAAGGTGAAACTAAAACTTGAAGAAGAAGAGTTGGATTTGAATACAAATATCGCTATTGCGAATGCTAAAACAGAAGTTCTTCAGAAATATGAAAGATATGAGGATGCTGATTTGCATGATGTTGATTCTTACATAGACATTGGAAATCCTAGAACATTAGCGCCAAAACCAACACCAAAAACGCCTTTGTTTCATAGTGACTTTGCGTCAGCACCGTCCTTGTTTGAGAGGCCTTTGAATCCGAATGCAGAGACATTCACACCCAAGCGTGAAGAAATTCCTCCACTTGACCTTCATTGCCTTGATATCAAAACAAAACCACAGATATCTGAATCAGACGCTATACAGTGTGTCGTACAATATCTCCGAAAACCGGTAGCAGAAATAAGGAAATTTGGAGGAAATCCATTAGAGTATAGACGTTTCATTAGACAATTCAATACTAAAGTTGTAATGAATACCAAAGACAATGATGAAAGAATGAATTATCTGGAACAATTGACTTTCGGAGAAGCACACAGAGTAGTGTCTGGATTTAGTCATATGTCGGGAGACAGAGCCTACACAGCAGCAATGAATCAACTTGAAGAGCGGTATGGGGACAATGAGGTAATCGCAACAGCATTCATAAAGAAGGCGTTAGATTGGCCAGCAGTGAAGGATGCAAAGATGCTAGATGAGTTCTCTTTGTTCTTGGTGGAGTGTCAGAATGCAGCTGAAAGCATCGATAGTGTTTCTGTACTAGACTATTCAGATAATATAAAGAGACTTATGACAAAACTCCCTGTGTATATGCATGATAGGTGGAGAAATGTTGTGCTGAAAACTAAGGAAACCAAGAAAACAGTGAAGTTTAAAGACTTTGTTAGTTTTGTGAAAACAGAAGCTAAGAAATCGAACGATCCCACATATGGTAACGCATCTTTTGGTGGAAATTCCAAGAATCAGGATCGCAACCAGAAGAGAGCTGTTGCGTCTACTGATGTCACAAGTGAAGTACATGTACAAGACTTTAAAGTACGAGAACAGAAGTGTGAATTCTGTGAAAGTAGTACCCATGCACTGAATGACTGCAAGAAGTTTGTAACCAAAGGACTTCAAGATAGATACAACTTCCTGCGAAATAATGGACAGTGTTATGGATGTCTTAGGAAAGGCCATGTTACTAAAAAATGTAAAGCTAGACTTCAGTGTTCCATATGCAGCAGACGTCACCCTACGATCCTACATGATCCTACGAAATGTGTAGCAAAACCTACAGATGAAGAAAACATTAATCCTGTGTCAACGGATGTCAAAACTACATGCAAGATCTCTAAACCTCAGATCAGTGCCTTTAGTGATAAAGGGGCCGGAGAAACAACCTGTGCTATGGCGATTATTCCAGTGAGAGTAAAACTGAAAAATAAACCATATAGCATAGAAACTTATGCATTCTTTGACTCTGGCAGCAGTGTGTCATTTTGTACAGAAAACATAATGCATAGACTTGGAGCAAGTGGGAAGAAGAAACAAATCACCATAAAAACAATGGGGGATTCCCAGAAACTAAACACTTACGTCGTCAGTGGGTTGCAAGTATGTGAACTTTCGATGGAGCATATTATAACTCTACCAAATGTGTACACGAAAGAATGCATGCCCGTATCAAAGGAACACATTCCAACACAGCAAGAATTAAAACAGTGGCCACATCTGTCAACGATTCAAACATCTGAAATTGATGCAGAAATTGGAATTATGATTGGGAATAATGTACCTGATGCTTACTCTCCATTCGAGGTAATTGCTGGGCCAAGCGGTTCTCCTCATGCAACAAGGACTAGACTAGGATGGATCGTATGGAATGTCATAAGGGAAAATGCATCAGATACATTTGACATAAACAGAGTGGCTATAGAAGATGCTCAGGAAAGAGACAGAAACTTAGAAAAAATGGTGAAAGATTCCATAAACTATGACTTTCCAGAACGTCTTGAAGATGATGTGAAAGAAAACTCTTTAGAAGATAAGAGCTTCTTAACTCAAGTTTCAGAATCGATTCACATTCGAGATGGTCATTACTCGATTGGACTTCCGTTTAAGGATCCTTTGATTCAGTTACCCAACAATATCATGCAGGGATTTCAGAGACTTGAGAGTCTGAAGAAGAAACTGATAAAGGATCCAAAGGTTAGAAATGACTATGTGACTTTTATGAACAAACTGTTTGAGAAGGGATATGCGGAACCTGTTCCCCAGAGTCAGTTACAAAGAGAGGACGGCAGAGTATGGTACCTCCCACACCATGGAGTTTACAATGATAAAAAACCAGGGAAAATCAGAGTTGTGTTCGACTGCTCTGCAGTTTATATGGGGATTTCACTAAACAGCCAGTTACTCCAAGGACCCGATCTTACAAATAGTTTACTTGGTGTACTTTTAAGATTTCGTCAGGAGAAAGTTGCTATTCAAGGAGATATTGAAGCAATGTTTCACCAAGTATCTATCCCTGAACAAGATCGAGACTGTCTAAGATTTCTGTGGTGGAAGGACGGCAATCTGGATGCCAGCCCTGAACAATACAGAATGAAAGTTCACATCTTTGGAGCCACTTCCTCTCCTACTTGCTGTAACTTTGCACTACAACAGACAGCTAAAGAATATGGTTCTGACTTTGACCCTACAGTTGTGACCACAGTACTCAGGAACATGTATGTAGATGACTGTTTGTCTTCGGTTGACACAGAGAAGAAAGCAGCGTTACTCATTGAAGATCTGTCTACACTTTGTAGTAAAGGTGGCTTCCATCTGACAAAATGGATAAGTAATTCCAAACAAGTGTTAGAATCTGTTCCAGAAGAAGATCGAGCCAAAGATGAGCAGAAATGGAACCTCGAAGGTGAAAGTGAAACACTCGTAGAACGTGCACTAGGTGTGTACTGGCTTGTTAACAGTGACCGTTTAGGATTCCTGATTAACATTAAAAATCAGCCAACGACCAGAAGAGGAATTCTATCTATAGTGAGTTCAATATTTGATCCTCTTGGTATCGTATCACCTTTTGTGATGACAGCAAAGACACTTCTTCAAAAAATGTGCAAAAATTCAGTTGGATGGGATGAAGAGATTACAGGAAGTCAACTAAAGGACTGGATAAATTGGCTGACACAAGCAAAAGAACTTGAAAATGTGACACTTGGAAGATGCTACAAACCACAGGACTTCGGGAAGATGACATGTCAGGAGTTGCACTGTTTTGCAGATGCAAGTGAAGTTGGAATTGGAGTGGTGATATATCTACGACTCGTCAGTGAAACTGGAAAAATCCACTGTTCCTTCGTTCTTGGGAAATCGCGGGTGGCACCATTAAAAACAGTGACAATACCGAGACTTGAGTTGACGGCATCAACCTTAGCAGTGAAATTATGCAAGATAGTCACAAAACAGTTGGATTACCAAATTGATCAAGTTTACTTCTGGACAGATAGCATGTCAGTTCTTCGTTATATAAAGAACACGAAAACTCGCTTTCAAACATTTGTCGCGAATAGGCTTGCCATTATTCATGCAGCAACTACAATCAACCAGTGGCACTATGTCACCTCGAAATTAAATCCAGCAGACTGTGCCTCAAGGGGAATACCAGTAGTGAGTAGATTTCTAAATTCAGCATCATGGTTCAGCGGCCCTGAGTTTTTATGGAAACCAGATGTTTCATGGCCATCTACTGAAATCGCTAGTGACTTGTTAGAAATTGACAGTGCTGAAATTAAGGAGAGTGTCAACACAGCAGTTGAGACAGAAACAGTGGAAGGAATGGAAAGATTACTCCGGCACTTCTCTTCATGGAAGAAGCTGAAAACAGTGACTGGATGGCTACTCTTAGCACTAGAAAACCTCAAAATAATAGTAGAGAGGAAAAGTGAACAGAGATCAAGAATGGTATCAGAGGGATTTACAGAAGAGAAAATACAAGAATTGGAAATGAAGGAGAAGCATGACAGATTGAAAAATGCTAAACAAACTGAAAGACCTTCCTTAAATGCAGACATTCTTGACAAAGCAGAAACAAACATTTTGAAGTATGTGCAGATGAAGTATTTTGCCCAAGAATTTAAAGACTTGAATTCAAGTGAAAATGGAGTTGTGAAAAGGTCATCAAAACTAGCCAAGTTAGACCCAATTGTTCATAATGGAGTTCTACGTGTAGGCGGTAGACTTAAGAAACTGGATACAACTCTAAACAGTAAACATCAAATAATTATTCCTAAAGAGTCTGTATTAGCCAGATTGATAGCAGAGGAAGCACATAAATCTGTCGGACACTTGGGGAAAAATTCAACGCTGGCACGTATCCGTGAGAAATATTGGATTCTTGGTGTGTCATCAATTGTGAAGTCAATCATTTCCAGATGCGTTATATGCAGAAAATATCAGGCACCTGCTTTGAAACAGAAAATGGCTGACCTTCCCAGCGAGAGACTTAAAGCTGATGACCCCCCCTTTACTCGAGTGGGCATGGATTATTTTGGTCCGTTTGAGCTTAAAAGAGGAAGAAGCATAGTAAAACGATACGGTGTCATATTTACTTGCCTATCTTCTCGAGCTGTACATTTAGAGGTTGCCTTTTCCTTGGATACAGACTCCTGTATTGACGCCATTCGAAGGCTTATTGCACGACGAGGAAAACCAACTTATATACTGTCTGATAATGGAACAAATCTGGTAGGAGCAGAACGTGAGCTAAGAACAGCACTGAATTCCTGGAATACGAACAGAATTTCTAGTCAATTATTACAGTCAGGAATTGAATGGAGCTTTAATCCACCAGCTGCGTCTCACTTCGGAGGAGTATGGGAACGCCTCATTAGGATAGTCAGGAAAATCATGTATTCTGTTCTGCATGAACAAACGATTCATTTGGATGATGAGGGACTGTTAACCTTGTTTTGTGAAATCGAAGCCATCATGAATGGACGTCCTCTTACAGAAGCTTCAGATGACCCAAATGACCTTTTAGCACTAACGCCAAATCATATATTACTCATGCGATCAGGAGAGAGTTTTCCCCCTGGAATTTTCCATGCATCGGACAACTACGCAAAACGTCGATGGAAACAGATACAGTACTTGGCTGATGTGTTTTGGACGCGTTGGATCAAAGAATATGTACCCCTTCTCCAACAGAGGCAGAAGTGGCTGAAGCAGGAAAGAAACTTACAAGAAGGTGATTTAGTTCTCATCGTGGAAAACACTCCAAGAAACACATGGAATCTCGGCAGAGTACTAGAAGTGATAAAGGACAAGTATGATGTTGTGCGCGTTGCAAGGATAAAGACAGTGTCTTCCATTCTCACGCGACCTGTCACAAAGCTTTGTCTTCTTTTGGAAACAGATTGTGAAAAAGAGAAAACAAATCAGTGAACCTCCGTGCAGTTAAACGTAAAGTGATTGATCTCATTTTAGATGATTGTTTTGTCCATTTTTGATTTATTAAGAAATATGTTTTTGTAAAAACACATTTAGGGGCCGGTGTAATGGACAACCTGTATATTTTATTTTGAATTCCAATTTAGTCCGTAACTTTCGATTTCTGTATTTTCCAAATTTATCCGAATGATACTTTACTATGATGTTTACCAAAATTGCACGAGCACCATATTCAGTGTAAAGTTGTGTTCTACATGTTTTAACTGAAAGTTATTGAAAGTACCAGACATACATCACGGTAATTATCTATTGATTGTTTATTACATTCTGCCGGCTGTTTATATTTACTTGTTTCGTTTAATTGAAGTAGGAGTTTCTAATAATATCAATGTTTACAAAGTTAAATGTAAGGAGCGCTTTTCATGTCATGATTTATACAGATAAAAAGTTATATTATGTGTACATTTAGTATTGAGTAGTATTATTCATTATGTTTAAATTTATTTTGTAGTCAATCTATGTCTATGTCAGACACATCGAAGGATTTCTATGTGAATATAAATAAAGGACATCGAATTGAACCTGTACTGTCTTTGGTACTAGAGTAGAGAACACAGCCATAATTGATCATATATCATATGAAAGCATCCTCAGGTTGTGTAGATTCAAGTTTGTACGTTCAAATCATAACCCCGGGGGGTAGGACGGGGCCACAATGGCCGACCAATGTTTTACATAGAAATATAAAGGAAAATTCTTTAAAAATTATCTTCCCAAAGAATAGCAAAGCCATGATTGGTCATGGGACTACTTTTGGATTTAAATTTTTCAATAATAAACCAATTTCTACTTTTTCCTAGCCACAGTGCTCAGGTGAGCGATGTGGCCCTTGGGCCTCTTGTTTTAATTAATGTTGTTCAACTTACGTCCTTCCGGTGTAACGTTGAATTTTGACCCGAGTTGAGAATTGACTCGGGGGTCATATCCATAATTCCTTTGTAAAACAGACAAGCTGAAATGTCTGTTTTGTCCTATAAGATATGCTATTATTGTTCGTATTTAATAAAATATTTCTTTTGAAAAAAAATATAAGAGTTGAAGTAAGGCCATTTTAAAAAATGTTTTGGTTGCCCTCTCCCAACCGACTGGTTAAAATGACCCGACTCAAAACTGTCTTTGCCTTGAGAAAGCAAGTGTTCACTTTAGGTAATTGTTTGTCCATTCTTTACACTGAAATATGTACGGATTTTTTTTTTTGCCCGATCATGACAAAGAGCACACGAAGAGTGTGACCAGTCGATAGGGGATGTTCACTCCTGCTTTTTAAAGGTCCGTGTTGTCTCTGCTCCCTGTTTGTATTGTTCCATTCAAATTTTGAGCTTGAATTTTGGTTATCTTCTTCAAATTGTATTGTAAATAATCTAGAATATGATTATTTATTTATGAATGCAATGTATAAATTTTGCCTTATTCTTCATACGACCTCAAAGAATGAAATTGTTTTACAGAAAAGAAAGATAGACTAAAAGAGAAATACTCATCTTGGAAATACTCTAGAAAAATATAATTTAAAAATTAGCATTGAAATTGAGATTTTTGGGGGAAAAAATTCTCACCTTCCTACCGACCCAATTTTTTCAGTCGGAGTCGGGAGAGAGCAACCAAACATTCTTTTAAACCTGGCCTAACATTGAGTGTGCAGAGTTGTAAACTGTTTCTTGAAGTCGAATACCATTTTTTTATTTACTTCATGTATCATGGTTATGGTTAATTTCGATCGAAGCATCGTGATAGTTTTATCAAATAATCAATTTAACTCTTTCGCTGATACCATGAAGAAATTATTACAATTAAATCCGAAATTTTCAAGATACGATCTGACATATACCGGTATATGCAAGTACATGTCAGAATGGATGTTCGGTGAACATTTACACGGCTTTAAATTTTGCATGCTAATTTTGGACCGAAGACGAAAACAAGGCAAACTTCCGCCAGAGTTCGTTTGTGCCAAACCAAAGTCTCTGTGTGCGGAGATACAGAGGACTATGGGTAGTATGGAAAACAAGGGTATCGCAAGACGCAAAGCGCATATATCTTTATAATTTAAGGAATCACTATCTAGTAAGTATAGTATGCCAGGGCATCAACAATAGTGGGAAACATGGTATAATCTGCATAATGGGCGAAGCCCGTTATGCACAAATAATCCCATGTTTCCCAATATTGTTGATGTCCCTGGCATACTATACTAACTAGACAGTGATTCCTTATATTTCCATTTCATTGTGAAATAAAATTGTAGATTTAAACTTTAAAAATGCAGACATAGATTTAAATTACACGAGGATTCTCACTATCTAGTAAGTATAGTATAGTATAGCCTTGAAGTCCATCAGGGCAGGCCTGCCCCTAAATAAAATTGTGATATTTTGATAGGTTAGGATGTAAGGAATAATTCAAAATAAGATTTCTTTAGGGGCACCCCTGCCCTGGGGTCGAAATTCACAAAAAATAAGGAAACCAGATTTTCAAAATCTTCTCTATATTTATGCCATTTAATTTTACAGTCAGACTAGCTCAGTTGATATATGCGCTGATTCGATACTCTCTTCTTAAAGGCGGGGGTTCGAATCCACCTGGTACAACACTTGTATAGTTTAAATTTCGCATTTTCAAAGAGTATTTTAATTTTTTTTATAGACTTGTGTATTTTTCCTTCAATTATCTATCCCTTATGCATGTCCATTCTTGATATAAGAAACACTAAAGAGATATCAAATCGTAAAAATCCAATGTACAGTAACGAACCTCAGTATAAGCACACTTTCTCCGAGGACAAGAATAACTCACTCTGTGTTATTTGGTACAGGTATTCTTGGCAGCATTGAGCTGCGACGAATTTTAATTGTATATATTCCTTAGAATTTAATCACATTTATTTTGGCTAGACATATTTCAGTAAATGCACTCACTTGGATTTCATTTAGGCCTTTATAATTTGCACACATTAAAGACAAGTTTTTATTATATCCACGGATAAATAGCCTAGACATTAAGAATAGAATTTCAGAGACAGTAGACATTACCTTTATGCACAATGAGGAGTAAAGACAAATATCAATTATTACATTTGGAGATAACAAACGCAGAAAATCAATAAAAAGGGTTCCTCCTATCTCTACTCACTGAAATAAAGATTTAGGAAAAACAAATAGTTATATGTATTCAGCCTAATGTCATTAATCAGAACGGAAATCCACAAGCTTTTTGTAGAGAATAAAACCAAGCCCGGTCCTATAGGTCAGATCCCTATTTATAATGAAGTGATCCTTTGCAGGTTCCCACCGGCAAATGATGGCGTCTGCACTTGAGTGAAAAAAAAAACTCGAGAGAGACTTTTTGTACAGCGCGTTGTATTATTCACTCACTCAAAAACGAACACACACAATTCCTATCCCCTCCAATTCCATTGCAAGGGAAATAATAATGCTTTTCTCCTTATTTCATGCTTGCACCCAAAACTCGAACAGGAACATGTACATGTAACAATGGCCCCTAGTCCCAAAAAGGGCAACGTCGGTAAAAATAGGGTTTTGAATATCAAAGTCTTCGAAAACATAACCAGGACACATTTTTACCCTAGCATGTTTTAATTAATTAATTATATTAATTGCTCTCTAGTTTTACGCTAAATTATAAAAGTGGTGTGATCTTGATATGAAAGTTAACCAGGTCCGGACGAAGAACTTTTTATTTTTTTTTTGGGGGGGGGGGGGGGGTCCTCATCAACTTACAATATATAAATATTGCATGTAGTTGAGTGTAACATTGAAAATTTTCACCCCAAGAAAACCATTGTCAACCGAGGCGCAGCTATGAGCATGATGAATGAAAATATGTGATAATAACAAAACATACTGATGAGGTCTTTGTTAGGCCCTACATCTACAGAGTTCCAGGTGAAGGAGTATTTAGAAGGATACATGGTGAACCCCTCGTGGTGTTTTGTACTCAGTACAACAATAGTTTAATTCGAGGGGTGAAAATTTACACTCAACTACATGCTATATTTATTATATTATACTGAATGTGTTATACAAATACATATAACAGTGAACCGTGCGTGCATAAATTCTGCGCAGTCGCTATTTTTTGAAATACCACCCGTCGTCAAGCAGTGTTGACTGATGCTACGCTGGAAGGCGTGACTTCATTATTCAGCGGGTAACAGTGTTTTTTAACAAATGTTTCTCGACCAATCAGATTCAGCTAATTTACATGAAAGTATAATATAACACAAATGTCAAACTTGAAAGTTTTTGACAAGGAAAAATATTCAAATCTAGACTTCGCCCGCGTGGCGCAGTGGTTATCTAGAGCATCTGCTCTAGAGTCGCGAAGTAAGGAGTCAATCCTTACGTCGCGTGTTCGAATCCCACTGTAAGACTTGGAGACCGGTCCTTTGGATGAGACCGTATAAACCGTATAAACCTAGGTTCCGCGTCCCAGTAGGTGCTGACACGAAAAAGATCACTCACTGCTCAATGGCCTTAAGTGCCGAGTATAGGACAAAATTTGTAGCTCTCCACCGGCAAGTTGTGGCGTTTCCACATGAGTGGAGGGACGTTAAACAATATACAACCAATCAATCAATCAAATCTAGATCTTTTTCTTTTCCGTAAAAAGTTTGTGTAGTATAATTCGTGAGTACATATTAATGTAAAATAGGACCACCTGGTTTAATATTTGTCATGTTCTAAATTTTGGATAGATACATGTACAGGGTGGGAGTATCTGTACAATTTAGAACGTGACAGATTTTAGAACTTGACTGCTTGTCAAAACTCGGGTACTACTTTTTCATATACAATCTTGATTTTTTGAGTCAGTGTACAGTAAATGTTAATAATATCATAGTTATTTCTACAACCACGTTACAATGCAGGTAAATCAGACTCGTATCTTCGTGTTTTTGTCCTCTTCAATATTTTGTATTGGTTAAAGATTTTTTTTTTGATCGATTACTTTTCGCTATCTTGACCTTTTTTATTCGGTTACCGGGGTGGGTGGGGGTGGGGTGGGTCACTCTGGAGTTTTATTGCATTTTGTTCAAATAACAAGAAATGCTTGATTTTTTTCTTATCAAACCTTAAACCTTTCGATTTTTTTTTTTTTTTTTTTTTTTTTTTGCTAAAATTTTGCTTTCTAGACTCCTCCAGAAATTGAACTACCTCCCAGAATAGGAATTTGAACAACAAGACCACTTATATTTAAGAAAATAGCATATAAACCTGTTTTATGCTCTAACAATTCTTTGCTCTTCTCAGGCCTTTGCTGTTTTGTCAAGTGCATCTTATTAACGTTAATTTGTTTTGAGGGTTTAAAGCAATGGATTCAAGTTTCATTTGCTGCTTGAATTTCAGACAAACGTGGACAAGTACAATTTTTGATTTTTTACAATAATTATTTAGATCTTCTTACACGCTGTCATTTTCACTCATTTTTCAAAACGTAGACCTTTGAGTATTAGCTTTTTTACTGTCAACGTTCCTTTAAAACATTGTGAATTACCCCCAAAATGACGCCTATCAAAGAAGAAGGTACAGTTTAAATATAAATTAAGCCCTATATTTTTTCTAAAATTTGAAAGTGATATATGAAATCAAAATTCATTCTTTCTGAATCATAGGAATTCTCTGCAGTAAGAATTCACAAATGGTTTTTCTCATATGACCTCCTAAATGCTAATTGTGACGTCTAATTAATTTGTGCATTTATCCGTATTTTCTGAAAAAGTTGCGGAAGACATAAATTTTCAGTGGAATTTTCTATTAGAAAACATACTCTGCCACCGTCGCAGATTTTAAGATATGTGATTTTTCATAGCAGTTTACACAAAATATCTAAAAATTAAAGTGGGCGACGGTGGCAGACACTATTTTCTAAATGAAAATTAGCAGAGAAATGCGTCATTTTGAAGTTTTTCTGCATTAAACTTAGAAATGTGCCAAATTTATGACGTCATACTTCCAGAAAGGTCCTCCTTCATGCCATATTCTTTTATAATTTATCATATGCATCTACTCAACTATTGTTGAGGTCAATTTCATAAATTTTTAAGGACATTAAATTTTTAGGGCTCAAACCGTACCTTCTTCTTTGCTATGTGTCTTAAAGTCAATCAAACATAATCAGTGATAATTTGTTGAATTTTCCCGAACAGTACATTCATTGGTTGTTGTAAGTCCTTGTCGCCAAGGACGGTACCCATTTTTGACGCCCATTTTATCAATTTTATTCATTGAAATCTCCTTGCTTATGTGTGTATAAAACAGAATTTGGTTGCTGTTTTTCAGACAAATTTCATTGAATATTTCTTTGGGATTCTAAAACGTTTTACAGCAGCTTAAATGAAGCGTTTAATTTCACTCTAGTTTACTGATTCTTTAACATTCATTTTTAATGCAGTCGAGTAGCACTTGTTTTCCAGCTTTTCACAATGGAACTATGTGATGAAAAGTGGTCACATAAACTGTTATCAATCCATCAAAGATTCAATAATGAGAGAAAGTCAAGCTTAATGTCATATGATTTTTATGTTACATGTCATCGAGCTGATGACATTATTTATAGAAAACCTATCTATAACAAAGATTCTATGAAAGTCTTATTAAATTTCATTCAGTGGTATGAGAGGAGTTAGGGATAATAGATGGTAAACTCAAAGCGTAACAGACAGACAGACGCACAAACAGACGGCGGACATCCTGATCACTAGATATCCTCCCACTTTTCAAGCGGGGGTATAAAAAGCAAGATAAAGTTTACATTTGTACATTATGGAAGCCTTAACAATTGTAAAATTCGTAAAAGATGGATGTATTGTACAAAATGTACATGTATGTGTGTATACGTACGTATTATAATTTCAAAACAAAATGAAGAATCGGTACAGTTTTTGGTATATTTAAAAGTAAAAATCCAAAAATATCACAACCGAACATGGCGAAAGCGCTTGCAGTAAATGTTTTGTGATATTTTTGGATTTTTAATTTACTTTTAAATATACGTACGTATTATATATATGCGTTCATATACATATTCAACATAAAACTCCTTTGATGAACAATAACTAGGGTGGCTATTTTAGTGTAAATTAAAAAAGAAAGAAAGAAAACATATCGTTACGTACACGAATAAGTTAAAAAAAAACTCCTTTGAGTACAATAACTAGGTGTGGCTATTTTTGTGTAAATTCTAAGAAAAAAGAAAACATATATGCATCGATAAGTATCGATATGAGCACGGATAATTAAGTCATAAACCTGCACTGTGTGAATTGATGTCATTAATTGGCGTGTTCTAGTTATGCAGAGTCCACGGTTTGCGTTATAAATATATATACGGATTATCAATAAGGGAGTTACTCATATCCTCCTCCTATTGATTTTACTGCAGTGAAATCCTGACAGATGCATCAGGTGGTCGATAATAATCCTACTTCACAAAATGTCGGACTTAACAGTGGACGATTGGTTAAATCTAGCCCCCTGTCCCCCACCATGGAACCCAGGGCTGCTCTACTGGACCCCGCACCCCATAAACCTGACTGAGGGGGAAATACAAAGGATCGCGGAGAGATGTGACGTGCCGCCGAAGGACAGGCTGATAATGAGTACATCTGTACCGAACACCCCCAGTGTCTTGATTCCCGTGTTGGTCTCGGTGTCTGTGGTTTTATTGGGGATTTTGATTGCTGTGTTGATTTACAGGTAACCGAGGTGTTGGGGGGGGGGGGGGGGCGGAGTTTTCATTGTTTACTTTCCATTGAATGTCTTATTTTTGAAACCATTCAGATCGAACATGCTCGTCTTGATTAATATTGTTGGTGAAAACATTATATGATTTGGGGTAAAATAAATATAATTTGTAGAAAATATAATATATATTCAGTCCATTTTTATAGTCTGTTTTTATTCTCATACTGATAAATAAAAAGGAATACAATACTAAGAATAATTTAGTTGGACACAAGAATTCTATTATACTCATTAACCAGAACTTTTATATTGTTCATTTAGTTTTTTATGCCCCCGTAGAAGAAGTTTCGGGGACATATATTTCTTGCCCTGTCCGTCTGTCTGTTTAGCTGTCCACAAAACACTATCCTTGCCTATAACATTTGACTGGTTTGAGCCGTGGCTTTCATATTTTTTGTTTAAATGTGTATTCATTGTGAAAAGACCATGCCTTGGATGAAGATATTTTTGACAGGTTGACATTGATCTTGGAGTTTGAATAACTTTTTATCAATTTTAGTTTGGCGATAAATTTTCTGGAGTCATTATACCAGGACTTTTTTTATTTCACAGATGTATTCCACGTGAAGAGGACTCTCTTAGATACCAACATTTTTGACATTTTTACTTTTTATATTTCATTTGTGTACTAGTATTTGTAACAAATCCTTCGTACCAAGAATTTTGTCAGTTTAACTTTGATTTTCGAATATGTCTTACTTTTGTAAAATATTAACTTTGACCATAATTTTTGAATTGTTGGAGCTTGGGCTTTCATATTTCACATGTGTATTTCTTGTGACGGATATACGTCTTATATTAGGGACCATTTACTAGTAATTTTTACTAGTTGACCTTGACATACTTTTTAAAAAATGTCAATTCACACATGGATTCCTTAAAACAAGACATTTTCTCAATCACATTTGATCTCTTGACCCTGACATTTAAGTTTGACGCATTTGAGATTTTTTTACCTTTTGACATTGACCGTGATGTTTGAACTACTAACTACTCATGTAATCCGCCGAAGCGCTGTGGTAAGGAAAAAGCAGAAATCAGTTTATTGTTGAAAAAATGTAAATGGGAGAGGGTATGATCGATTTGAACAAACTTGAATCTACACTAACTAAGGATGCTTGCACATTTCTTTGACTACATGTTGCTTTATTGCCCTTTACATTTGATCTTACATTGTTGCTTCGCCCTACCCCGGGGGTCATGACTGGAACAAACTTAAATCTACACTACCTGAGAATGTTTCCATGTACATATGACTAATCATGGCTTCGCCATTCTTGAGAAGATTTTTAAAGAATTTTCCTATATATTTCTATAAAAAACTTTGGTTTCCTATTGTGACCCTGGCCTATCCCAAGGGGTCATGATTTGAAAAAACTTGAATCTACAATATCTGAGAATGGTTCTTTATGAATATGACTAATCATGGCTTTGAAATTCTTGAAAAGATTTTTAAAGATTTTCCTATATATTTCTATATAATAAAACTTTGATCGGCCATTGTAGCCCCGCTCTTAACCCGGGACCATAATTTGAACAAACTTGAATCTACATTACCTGAGGATGTTCCCCTATAAGTTTCATCTTTCCTGGCACATTTGTTCTTGAGAGGGAGATTTTTAAGACATACCACCAAATTTTCACTCTTTCTGAATTATCCTTGCATGAATAAGGGCGTGGCCCTTCATTTGAACGAACTAAAATTCCCTTAACCCAAGGATTTGGTTAAAATTGGACCAGTGGTTTTAGAGAAGTCGAAAATGTGAAAAGTTTAGACAGACAGCTACAAGGGCTGTTCAATAAATAATGCCCTCGGTGCTCGGAAAGAAACAAAAAAGGGTTTTCAATGACTTAGTCTTAATGATTTTACTTATTCTCTTTTAATTAAAACACATGTCATAAACATTTTTATCCAATTTCTGATTGTTTTTAGAACACCTTTTTGAGTATTGCCCTTCGTATACTGGAATATGGCAGATCCTAGGATTTCCTGGACTTGTTTCTTCTCTCTGAGAGGTGTTTTTCCAAGTTTGAAAGTGAAAAAGTCAAAGGGTGAATAATCTGGCGAATATTGTTGGTGTGACAACACATTAACTTTCTGGTTATCCCTAAAACTCCTTTACTCCCCATGGCGTGTGGGTTTGGACGCTGTCATGAATAAATTTAATGTAGTGGATTCCTGATTCTGATTTTGGTTCCTTCATCTCATGAACCTTTCGATTTTTTTGCAAAATTTGTGCTTTCTAGACTCCTCCAGAAATTAAACTGCCTTCCCGAATAAGAATTTTAACAAGACCAGTAATATTTAGCAAAATGGCATTCAAAACTGTTTTTGTGCTCTTGCAATTCTTTGTTTTTCTCAGACCTGGGCTGTTTTTGTCAAGTGTATCTTATTGTAAATTTGTTTTGAGGGTTTAAAGCAATAGATTCAAGTTTCATTATCTGTTTGAATTTCAGAAAAACATGGATAACTTAACAGATTTTGATTTTTAAAAAATAATTGGTAAGATATTCTTACACGCTGTCGTTTTCACTCATTTTTCAAAATATAGGGTGATACTAAGTTTTATTACACTTAAATGTTTCATTTTTAACAGCTAGTGTAAACTACCCCCAAAATAATGTCTATCAATTTTGCTACGTGTCTTAAAGGCAGTCAAACATCATCAGTGATATTTGTTGAATTTTTGCAAACGGTACTCTGTTTGTTGTAAGGACGGTACCCATTTGTAATGCCTATTATATGGATTTTGTTGATTGAAATCCACCTGCTCATGTGTCAATAAAACAAACATTGGTTGCTATAAATTTCACATATTTCAATTATTATATCTTTGGGATTCCTAAGGAGTTTAACAGCAGCTTTCATGAAGCGTTTAATTTCACTCTATTTTATTGATTCTTTACCATTCATTTATAATGCAGTGTCTCGAATACCCCTTGTTTTACTGCTTCTCACAGTGAAACTATATGGTGAAAAGTGGTCATATAAACTGTAATCAATTCATTAAAGATTCAATCATTAGAGATAGACAGCTTAATGTCACATAGGATTTCTATTTTGTATGTCATAGATCCCAGGACATTATTTAAGCATTTAATTCATATTTTTGGATGTCTTCAGTCCTATAACACACCTGGCCGTGCCGACAAATTGAATACCGCGCGTTAGCGCGGTATGATAATTTGTCGGCACGGCCAGGTGTGTTATAGGGCCAAAGACATCCAAAAATATGAATTCAATGCTTATATTTACATTCTCTAATTTTCCTTCTTCATAATTGCTTATTTTGTTAATCTTTAATGTGAATTTAGCGCCCTTCAAAACTGCCGTGGTTAATAGATGTAATAACCGTTTATGACGTCAAATGACGTTAAATGACGTTGCAAAGTTAAATTACGCAATCAAACATTGCGAGGAAAAAAATGACAAATTAATTCGTAACGCGTATTACGTTAATTTTTTAGGGTTAAAGTTTTTCATTAAATTGAAATAAAACATTTTACATTTTGGTGTTCCTAGAGTATTGAAAATGCATATAGTTCCTACTGTGTATTTTAACGCGCGGTGACAAGGTTTCGGGTGTGTTATAGAAATTTGAACGTCGTGGATTTCTAATGGATTTCATAAGGAAAATTACACTGAATGTAAATATTTATTGAACAACCCTCATAGATAGACGGACAGACATACGGACGGCAGACAAAATGTGATCAGCTCAAGTGAGCTAAAAATATTTGATGTCGAACTAATAATTTCAAAATCTTTCTTATTCCCAGTTACAAACACAAGAAACACAAGACGGGTGACAGCTGTGTACAGGGTTCTAAGTGTGACCTGCTCGAGGAGATGCAGGGCCGCGGCCACCACGGCTGTGACAACGAGACGTACACAGAACTGAAGACTGAACAATTACCACATTCAGACAAGACAGTCTCCCAGCAGGGCCACCAGAATTTACCACATTCTGACAAGACAGTCTCCCAGCAGGGCCACCAGAATTTACCACATTCTGACAAGGCAGTCTCCCAGCAGGGACACAAGAATTTACCACATTCTTACAATACAAACACCCACGAAGGACTACAAATTTCCAAATGTCAGACATCAAATGGCAAAGTAATGATAGAAAACAGGGCATTTCCATGACAGAGAGTTAAATTGTGAGTCAGTCTGATAATATGTTCTACGGTGCGACCGTTAGTGAGGGCGGAGCCGTGAAGAGAAAATTGTTACATTTTATTGTTTAATGATAAATCAGTTGATCAGATAAATTCTGAAATTGTCAATGCATAGACCTAAAGCAAAGGGTTCGCTTCATGCAGATCTATGGTCAGTGTCAGAAAATCATAACAAAGAACTCAGTTCTCTTGAAAAAAAAAAGTTTTACCATCTCTTACATGTACCTCATTACTTTTCATTCAAATAATGCAAGATACTGTGTATTTCATCATGAGATGAATGGTTGTCTAGCCAGAGCACTTAAAGTCGAAGAACGTCGTGTGAAAAAAGAGGGGCATGCATTGGGCCATTGGACCAGTAATGGGTTCAACATACCGGGCCAAAGAAATGTGAGACACCTCGGTCCAACGACACATTAAACTTTAATAGTTATACACGTAACAGTAAACTCGTTCCAAAATACTAGTATATCCAACAAATAATAATTCAAAAAAATAATCAATTCATAAACTTTTTCTGAGCACCAATTTCTTTTTCTTTCACTACTCGATTTATATGCTTATTTAACAACTGTACACTTATCTAGAAACCTCAAGTCATTTCTCAACTGTTATTACTCCCATTACATGGTTATGATGTCATCTAAAGTAAGAACAATATTATTGTCAAGACCAGATCAGAAGGCGAACTTGGGACCCAAACTTCATTTGACTTGAGTTAATATCACAAGGTTGAAAATATAGAAGCAGCACACCTTTTATGAGAAAAAAACTTGCAAACTAAAGGATGCATGATCAGGGACATTTAATACTATCATAATGTGCGTGTTGTGACATATCTTTTTTCTTTTTATTTATTTCTTTTTATTTTACATTATTGGTAACCCATAAATTATAATTATTGTTTTCTTTATTTTAATGAAAAATGTATAGTTCACCTTTCAATTTAAAAAAAAAACAAATATGATTTAAATAGCCTTTAGAATTTTCTAAATCTAACATTGTTTTGAAAACGGTTATATATCTGGGGAAAAAACTTTAAAATTAAAAGTATTTTCTGATACCCTTGTCATAAATAGTTAATTATATAATTTCAAAACCAGCACTTGTGAATAATATAATAATAGGGTACACTTTTGAGAAGTTATGAATAGAATATTTTATCGATGTCAAACAAAGATTCTGAATATTTGCTTCATGTTTTTAATAGATAAGCAGATTTATTAGGATTGAAAACTATATTAAATAATATGCTTGATGTGTATTGAATTTGAGTATTGTAGTGTACATATAGGTATGTATACATTAAGAGCATGCACTGCACTTTGAAGTCGTATAACTTTGTGGATATTTTCATGCATTTACTGAAAGATGTATGTAGACTGAACAACTACCTCTCCAGACTGTACATTATACATTGTTTAACTTATTTTTTCCTGCTTTAATTTAGACTTTATATGTAATTGCAATTGTCAAAAAAAAAACAAAACTCTTTTTGAATTTTTTAAATGCATACATCGTACTATTAGATTTTTCTTTTGATAGTGATCCTTATAAGAAACTGAAATTTTGTCATTTGAAAAACTTTATAAAACAAAATATTAAATTTTAAAAAATCACAACAAAAATGAGATTCAGACTTCCATAGATCTGCTAAATATTTATGTATTCATAAACAAGTAGATATTCATAAATAATTTGGATACCTTAAAAAAAAAGGAAAAGAAAAAAAGAAATCCACACACTCTTATTGAGTCCCCTGTGAGACTTTTCACAGGGTATTTTATTTTATCACTTTTAAAACATTTTTAACTGTTCTAAAAATTATAATGTCAAAAAAAAATCCTATATTTCTAGCTTGGTATGTATTGACAAGTATAATCCTGAAGACATTTATTATTGGCAAATTTTATTTAAGAAATAAATATTGATATTCTTGTGAAAGGGGCCACAGATAGATCCGCTCCTCCATAGTGCAGACGACAGCGCCGCCTTTAGGGAAATTCTGACCAATCAAATGCCGTTTTACTTGTTAGCGCGAACTATAAATAAAATCCAAACGTCTAAAACGAAAGTAGGAAGGGCCTGATTACTGGATTTGATTTGAAGTAAAAAAAAGAAATACTACACATTATCCTTGGATTAAATGTTTTTTACTTTGATGAAAGTCTCATCAACAACGAGAATTTGCGCGTGGATAAAATCGACGCCATTTTAGCGACGACGCCATATTGGCGACAAGAATCTCAGTTCCATAGGTATTGTAAATGACATATAGTTTACAATAGATTTCTTTTATTTTTCATATACATACGTGTTACCTATAGGGAGAGCTTCGCTCTCACGGGCCCTTCGGGCCCGTGAGAGGGCTCCGCCCTCTATAAAACCAACCCTTTCCGTTATCGTTTGGAGTAGTCCGAGAAATCGGACGATTTCCAAGTCTTTTTTACGATTTAGATATATATTTTACAAACCAAGAAAACCTGGCATGTAAAATATCAAAATCGTAAAAGCCTGGAAAACATCAGATATTTCGGACATCGTTCGGAGATGGAGGGCAGCGGAGTATGTTGGAGTGATGGGGCTGGTTTTATTCAGAGTGCAATGTGGTTTCGCAATCATTTCTGCAATGGATGAATATTGGCATAGCTAACAAAAAGGCAAGTGATCCTGAGGAGATAGTGAGCCTTTTGAATCCACTGTGGACATATCTGGCAACTCGTACATATCAACTTTGTTGTGTGTTTTGCAAGAAAGTTCTCGTTTTTTTTGTGAACACCGGCATGCAATGTCTCATTCTATGGTGGTATGCCAACAATTGTTATAGAATGTTATTTTAGGGTAGATTAGCTTTACTCCACTTTACCCTTTAAATCAAAATTTACCTCTGACTTCTTCCATTGTTATTTTCCTTTTAGAGTTACATGTTGTTATATTCACGTTATTTGTATAAAAATAATAGAAAAGTAAAATTAGTAAATATAATAGTACTTTATATTAATTAATATTCTTTTGACGATTTTCTGAATACGAGGGAGGAGAGATTATTATTTGATGATTTTGCATTGTAACTTGCAGTTGATACTTATGTGATCAAAGTTCGAATTCTTCATAACTACAGGAAATTAATTGAATAAGATATAGTTGAATCTAGCTCCTAAAAGATGCAAATCCATAAAAAATTAGTCTTTGTATGAGCATTTGTTACGAAGGGCATGACCAAAGAGAAGTAAATCAAATTCAACATTTACTCAGTTCAAAGACTTTTTAAAGCTAAACACAATTCGGAAAAAGAAGAGCGTTATCTTTTCCATCATATTTCTACTCATTTTTCATTATTTCTAGAACACCTATAGTTCTTTTACTTGAGCAAAGGTTACTGTTAGATGCTTTCACATTTCATCTGTATGGACGTATTATATATTCAATAGCGACAAAAATATGCTTCTGTGGTATCTGTAGTAAAAATACAAATGGAGTACTCATCTGTTATCCACAACTCCTCCTATACCACTCAAATTTAATGAGACTTATACATAGTCAGTGCTACATGTATATATGTAATTGTGACTTTTTACTTTTTGATCGCACATATGTTTACTTTGGGTTTCCGAAAGCAAAAAAACGGAAAATGTTCTTCTTTCGATACTGGGAGTACCCATTTCTTATCCCCAACTTCTCCTATACCACTATTAACGTTTTGATCTGACACTTATTAACAAAAGACATAAACGGTGGTTAAAAATCTTCTCAGGAACAACTGAGCCAGAAAAGCTGAAACTTATAAGGAAGCCTCTTGGGGGAAGACATCACAATTGATACACTAATCCCTCTAGTCTAAGAGATAAATTACCCATGTTACCCTTAACGACATTTAGGTCCAATAGAGATCAAACATTATTGTATGCACCTTACATCATCATCTTCTTCTTTTTCTTCTTCTTCTTCTTCTTCCAGTAATGTGCCTGGCACCAAAGTTGGGCATTATCGCACATGTAAGGGCCAGAAAAGCCGACCAATTACAAGTGTCCAAAAGAATTATACTTGGAAAAGTTCTTACTGCATGTATTGTAATTGTGTGCTACAATGAAGCAGTGAGAGATCTTTTTTTGCCAGCACCTACTGCGACACGGGACCTTGGGTGCTCACTCCTCCATGACACCTGTTCCCACCTCTGATGTTTCGGAGGTCCGTGATTGCTCTGCTCCTATTTTGTATTGTTTAATTGACTTTTGATCTTGAATACTGTTCATTATCTCTGCATGGTCCAAAAAAAGGATCTCCACGTTCCACAATGGGATTCGAACTCTCGACTCTAGAGCATGTACTGTTGCGTACATATATACATGATATTGTTGATTCATAAATGCCTTGTCAAAAAAAGAAAAAAAAAAGAAAAAATGCTAATTAAGGATAATTGTGGTAGGGGTTATGAGTTTTGCATATTTCCTTTTTACGATTTATTGGCTATTTAAGTACAGGGAATATTAATAATAGAGCAACACATCCTCATTTTTTATTATTGATTTTCCTTATGAACGGGAAATTTATTGAAAATATAGCAGGTACTCGATAATGCTTACAACATGTCGGAGTTAACTGTGAACGACTGGTTAAATCTGGCCCCCTGTCCCCCTCCCTGGAACCCGGACCTGCTTTACCGGACCCCGCCAACGGTAAACCTGACAGAGGGGGAGATAGAGAGGATCGCGGAAAAGTGTCACGTGCCCCCCAAGGACAGGCTGAGTACATCTGTACCGAACACCTCCAGTGTGGTGCTTCCTGTTTTAGTTTCGCTGTTTTCTGTGATTTTACCGGGAACTTTGATTGCTGTGTGGGTATATAGGTAAGCTTTGGGGTATCAAATTATTATAATTCGTATGCTGCTGATATTTGGATAATTCTTTCTTTCTTTTTTCTATTTTACATTATATAAAAAACAAATTAGGCATCCGCCTTACGCAATTAATCAATTTGATTCATGTTTTCATTAAATATTAATCTTAATTCTAGAGCATCTATGCACAGGTAAAAGTTTGCTTGCTTACATGAAAAAAAAAGCAGCAAATGCACTATATACAACGGAGTCTTACTGTTAAATCCATAATGAAATGAAGATAATTTAAAAAAAAATTCCACGACCTTTTTATAAAATCCGAAAATCGAAATATCGCTTAAATCAATTGCATCAAAACGTAGCTTTAAAGACCTATTCCACGATCCCACAAGATAAATTAAAGACACAGACATCTGCATTTTTAACTATTGTGGAACTGAATTTTTTTAATATAGTCATTTGCCATAGATCTTCAAAGTTATCTTCAAGTTGTGAAAATCTTTCTTATTCTACACAAACGTACTCTGAAGTTTCAATTTTACAAAATGTTCTCTTTCACAATATCTCTACTAGTATATGGAATCTTTGGAGACCTGATCCTCTTACAATCAGAATAACCATGGGTGCCAATGGTGCCCCTTTATTGGCAGATTTGTTTATTTTATTATCATGATGCAGAATTTATCCAAAAACTTCATATGAAAAGAAGAAGTGTATTAAGTGCTGTGACATTCAATTCGAGATTAAGATCTACTTATCAATGTCGTTTTATCAATTCATATTGCTAGTTCATTTCATATATTGAACTCGAAATAAAAGGCATGGAGTCTGACACCTCTGTTTCATACTATTAGATACTCGTATATTACTTGATAAAGAAACTGATATATAGCAAACTTGCAATTAATTTAAGATAGACCTGGCGACTTGATCTTTACTATCATCAACTTCCCTCACTTATATACATGTAGCAATAAAACATACATTAAGCTTATGCTTATTCGACAAGCAAGAAATATTCTGCCTAAAGTCAATTGCTCAACCAGGCTACCGACAAACACCTACTAGTTTAATATACTGCAATTAGATTGTTTCTTTTCATCTATAGACGTAAGAAATGGAGCACAGACGATAGCTGCCTACAGCCCAAGGACTCTCAGAGTGATTTACTCAAAGAAGTTCAGGGACCTGGTATCCAGTGCTTTGACAATGAAACATACAAAGAACTGAAGACAAGTTCACGGGATTCTGACAACACAAACACACAACAGGATGTGGCAGATCCCGACAAAAGAAAGGACGTCTTACAAAATTCTGAAAAAAGTAGAAATAAAGCAGGACCTCCAGATATCTGAGGACTTGTTCTTAGAGCAAGAAAAATAGATTTACGAACATTTAATCGCCAATCAAAGAAAAAAAGGAATTCATGAAATCTAGTGAAAGATGTCAAAATAACAAGTGTTTTAGCAAGCGGAGTATGTCCATGACAGAAAGTTTTCGATCATTAATGTTAAACTTGCAAAGTTGAAAATTGAAAGTTTTGGTGTTAATTATTTTTACTCCAAATCAAAACACTCATCTGATTTCTTTCATTGTTCTTCGATTAAGTTATGTCACTCGTGAAATTTGTTAAATCATAGATTTATTGAGAAGTATATTTTGGATAAGTACTCATATAGAGTGACTCAAAATCGCAGAGAAAATAGATGGTCAGTGTTCATCTTACTGATCTACGGTACAATGACGTTTACCTTTATGCACTTAAATTTTAACTATTTAGTTAATTACTTAAACCTTAATTATATTTTATCAGATGTAACCATGGCTAAAAGTACGATCTTATTTTACGTAAAATATTTTGAATATTATTTATCAATGCAAAAAATCTTGCAAATTAATGAATTGAATTGAACATATTTTATTGACAAAGTCAAAAGGATCAGACACAAGTTCAGTAACTTAGATAGTCCTCTTCTAATATAACATTTTGTGAAATTGCCAAATTAATGAGCGTAAATTATTGTGTGAGCTTTTTGCACTAAAAAGTAACATGTTTTTGGGTATTAAAAAACTAAATAGGCAATTAAACATTTTCTTAAATCCAGCTTTTTACGACTTAAGTGCTGATCAGTCACAAGTATCGAGTACTTTAAAATAAGGAAAGAAAAAGTTGGGGTTAGTAATGTCAGTTTTGAAATATTGGTCAAAATATGTGATGTTAAGGCAAAAAATGGTGTAAATTTTATATTGACTTATTTGACAAATCTTCATTTTTTGGCAAAGTTTGTTGAAGGAAGGTGTAAAACTTCACTGAAAGAAAAACCTAGTGAATTTAACTAGTGTGTTTCGTAAAGCGTTGGTCGTGATTAGTAAACTTTCAGTTTACTGGTTAAGATAGTGAGTTGTGGAGCGGGGGTCGTATAGATACTTGGATACCTAGTGAAAGTTACTCATCAATTCTAAATTTACTAATCTTATCTAGTAAATATACCAATATCTGGTAAAATTACTATTAAGGTAGTGATTGTATGGACAGTGAATCTACTATGTTTTCTTCGTAACATTAACCACGACAGTTATTTATTTTTACAGTGTTGTTCTAAAACTATAAATGAAGACCTGTATTTAATATTCCTAGTAATATCATAATGGAAAATATTCTCTGAGTAAAAATATTTGAAACTAAAGTTCCAAGATATTAAATATAATAACTGTGCAGATTTGCAGAATTATCTGCTAAATATCCTTCCACCACAAAAAATAGTCCCTCACAAATCTTGCTTCTTTGTAGCTTTTTGAGCAGTTTTTTCGTTGAATGTTAAACCATTAACATTGTTGAAATTAAATATGTTATAAAAATTGAATATGATAAATAGTTTTGAAGTAAGAGGTTCTGCGTGAACTTTTCCAAAAAGCTGACGAGTACCCTACCTTAAAAAATATGTACACTATTTTTTTTTTATTTTGGTAATTTTTATGCTCTTTATTTGCTTTAAAAGGTTGCAGAAAATAAAAATGAAAAAAGGAAAAATTGTCATTAATTTCTTCATATAACAACAATAGATAATTACCCAATAAAACAAAATACAAATCAACAAGGTTTAACAATGAAAATAAATAATTCAGATAATGACGAACAAACTAATACATTTGACCCTAAAACTAGGATGATATTTAATCAATGAATAATACTGGTATAAGCTCCTGCTCTGCAGCAACATTTTCTCATCACTACAGCGGCTACTGTCTTGATTTCTTTTTATTAAAATTGATTCAGTTTTATTCATTTATTGTCATCTGAGACCATCACCGGACTCTTTCTGTTGTTTATTTTTTTTCCCCCTTTGAAGTAAAGCAATTGTTTTGGAAGTGAGTCTTCCTCTTTGATTCATTGTTAATTGTCCAAACCTAACAAGACTTTGGTGAACTTTGGTGAAAACAAGACTTTTCTCCCTGCTGAACATTTCTATATTTAATTGATGAAGAATTTTTAAAGAAAATTTGTGTCTCGAAGATATCTCTTTGATAAGAGGAAAATCACTGTTTATTTTCGTTATATCTTTATATTCAAGAAATAACAGTTTTAAATAACAGAAAAAACTCTCTCTCTCTCTCTCTCTCTCTCTCTCTCTCTCTCTCTCTCTCTCTCTCTCTCTCTCTCTCTCTCTCTCTCTCTCTCTCTCTCTCTCTCTCTCTCTCATAACTTAATTATCTGTTTTCATAAAATTATGTTTTTTTTCTGTATACTAGTCTGAGAGAACATATCATTGGCGGGATTACCTATTAATAATTTTGTAGGAATAATTTTTCATATTAACAGATATATCTTGATTTTTTTTCTTTTGGAAAATTTAAAATAACAAGATTTGACCTCGAATAACAGCTTAATGTCATTGGTCATTTGCAAAATTATTTTGTTAAAAACATTCTGATTGTGCACACAAGTACTTTGAAGTTGACTATATACTGATGCTTGAGTTTCTGATTGATAATATCTATCTACTTTTCGAGACCAGGTCTTCCGACAAGCTTTTGTAATTCTTAACGGAATCAATTGCGCTCCGTTATTAGCAGACCTATTTTGTATTCACATGAAGCAGAATTTCTCAAAAATCTTATGCGTGCATATAAGAAAACACTTGCTGTGGCCTTCAACTTGACATTTAGATATATCGACCAGGTATTGTCAATTAACAATGGCTATTTCCATTCTTATGTCGATACGATATATCCCGGTAAGCTTGAGATAAAAATACAACAGAGTCTGACACGTCTGTTTCAAATTTGGATATTTTACTTGAGAAAGGTGTTAATGCTAACCTAACTACCAAGCTTTATGATATAAGTGATGAACTCTGCATACGGGGTTTATGTCTCTCAGTTGATTCGATACGCAAGAGCATTCTCTACATTTGTATAATTCTAAAACGAGGTAATTTATTGAAAAACAAGTTGATGAAACAAGAATGTCAGCAGTTGTGTATAAAGTCATAATTTAGTAAGACAAGTTCTATTGTCGATCAAATAATATGACCTTGTCAGCAAATAAAATTTAATATTGAGCCAAATACTGACTGACGTTTCTCATACTAAATGTTAGGTCATTATTTACACACTGAATTTACGACGGATGTTCTGTTATTTCCCAATCATGACAACTAGCTCACGGCGGGTGTGACCAGTCGGCAGGGGATGCTCACTTTTCAATGGCACCTGGTCCCATCTCTGATGTTTTGGAGGTCTGTGTTTGCTCTGCTCCTATATTGTATTATTTAATGGGCTTTTGAGCTTGAATACTGTTCGTTATTTTCATATATTTCACAGATAAATATAACAGAAGTGGCTTCTTGAAAAAAATAATAATAAAATTATCACAGTTAGAGAACTGGAGATAAAAAGGGAGATTTTTTAAGGGGGCCGACTATGGCTTTATTGTGTGAAAACTACAATAGCGAAACTATTCATTTTTATACTATTTATAACTTACATTAACTTAATTGTACATGCAAAGTTTGGGGAAAATCTACCGCCCAGGTATTTTTAAGGGACCGTCTCAAAATACAGGTACATTTACTATAGGATTATATAGGAAAGTGCCAATTTTTCGCACTTTAAAGCAAATTATACAAATACTACAATAGACTTTTTGCTCAAACTATAATATATGATGGGTAATACTATATTGTACATTATATTTAAGAACCACAAAATTCTACAGCCCTGTTTCCTGAGGGGGCGTCTCAAAATGCCAAAAAATAACGAATTTCCTTGTTTTTATAGAGTACTACAAAATATGACCCATGCAAAGGATTTATTCAAAAAATTATAAATATGACGGAGAGATTATCAAATTCCTATGTTTTAAAATTCAAGAACATATGTTTATTACTTTTTCTTTTATAACATTTTTTATTACCCCATCTTTGAGAGCGTCACGTTATCTAACGTCAAAAACACACTATTACGACACCAATCTACCTGTCAGTTTAAAAATCGTATTAAAAATCAATTATTCAAAATTATAATCGACCTGTAATTTCTTAAGTGTGTTTAGTTTTATGAGTTAAGTGAAAAAAGTTGCTTTAAGAGAGTAAATACGCTTCATTTTACTATGATGCGCGAAATATTGCGCAATGGAAACTATAGTCGGCCCCCTTAAAATATAATTTTTACGACAAAACAGAAACAAGAAACTAACAACAAAATAGACGAAGCTTAAAATGAAGGTAATGTATTTTTTAAATACAAAGTACATGTAAAATAAAAATGTTTAATTGTTGTTTTGATTTTTGTCTGTTTTGTTGGTTAATAAAAGAAATCCTTAACAATAGATGCTGGGTATTAGCATGTGAGTGATATGGAGAATGAAACTGTTAACAAATCGATACTCTATAATAAAAATGAGGAAAAGACCAAGTTAAATATCCTAGGAGATCTATGTACCGTTTCCTTAAAAACATTTTGTTCGGAAATCATATCCAAGTTTAATTTCTATTGTATACACAAGAACTCCGAAGTTGTTATTATAAAGATGCTCAAGTTTCTGTTTGTAAATATATAGTTTTTGAGCTCATTAGTCATCCAACAAACTTTTGGAAGTTAAATTGGGGTACTTATTGCACCCCGGTATTAGCAGACCTTCTTTTATATCCATATGAAGCAGAATTTATTAAAACCTTAAACATTCATAGAAGAAAACACTTGGTAGGACCTTCAACTGGACATTAATGTATATCGACGATTCATTAATGTAGATGTCGACACAATGTATCCCAGTAAACTTGAAATAAAAGATGCCACCGAGTCTGTCATCTGTTTCATATTTGGACATTTTACTAGAAAAAGACGTCAATGGTTACCTAAAACAAAACTTTATGACAAACGTGATAATCTTTTTCTATCGTCAACTTCTCTTGTCTATGAAGCAATATATCCTTATAACTTGCATATAAGGTTTACGTTTACCAGGTGATTCGATACAAAAGAGCATTCTCTGCCTATGACCAGTTTTTAAAACGAGACAAGCCATTGACAACAAGTTAGAAGGATATCAACAGTCTCATTTCGAAAATTCTATCAGGTCGATACAATGACCTTGTCAGCAAATGTAGTCTAACTTAAAGTCGAAAGTTAAGTAAAGTGTTCACACTAGGTAATTGTTAGTCCATTCTTTACACTGAACTATGTACGATTTCGTTTATCCGATCATGACAAAGAGCACACGACGGGTGTGACCAGTCGACAAGGAATGCTCACTCCTCCTTTTTAGAGGTCCGTGTTGTCTCTGCTCCCTATTTGTATTGTTCCATTCAAATTTTGAGCTTGAATTTTGTTTTCTTCTTCAAATTGTATTGCAAATTATCTAGAATATGATTATTTATTTATTAATGCAATGCATAAATTTTGCCTTATTCTTCATATGACCTCAAAGAATGAAATTGTTTTAGAGAAAAGAGAGATAGACTGAAAGAGAAATACTCATCAAAAAAACATGTGGGAGTTGTTGTTCCTTGCACAATTTCATATTTTTTGTTCCAAGAGTTTAAGATTTTGGCAAAGGCCATGGTGTCTAAATTGTTCCTAAACTATGTGGTTTATAAAATTTAAACTTTTACAGTTTATAAATGTTTCATTGATTAACAGATGAAAAAGTGTCATTTGAAAAAAAAATTGGGAAAAATATTTTTTAAAATATACATTTTAAAAAATCGACCTGCTAAAAGTCGTACATACTGAAAACCATCATTGCAAAGATACTGTAGACGTTCTGTTTTCCACGGGGTCATAATTCTCTATTTCTGTTCAATCCGCTGGTAGAAAATTACGCGGATATCATAAGAGATATATGCCTTATATGAATATTAACTTCGATGGGACAAATTTCCGCGGATAATTTGTGACCACGTACATAGCGTAAGTCAATACCACGCGAAAAGAAACTACTTCTACAGTATATTTAGCAATGAAGAATAAGGTGGACGTGAATTGTCTCTGAAAGGCTGTCATTGAAAGTATGACATAAATAAAGACTAGACCTCCTATAAAAATCGCCATTTGCAATGTTCTTTCGGTTTCAAATCTTAAGATTTGGACAAAAATAAACACGGAAAGGAATTTAACTTTTCAGATTCTACAGAAGTCTATCTTACCCTTCATTGATATTGCAATCAAGGCTTTCACTGAAATTAATTACGTTTATTTTTAAAATATATTTTTTTTAAATATAATTTTTCTTGTTAAATATTTTTAAGTATTTGTCATCAAGTGACAATTTCTTTATTTAATGTCACACCAATGATGTCCTAAAATATTTAAGATATAGGCATTTAATAACCTACATTACATCTAATTGTGTTATATTACCTATGTTTTATACAACACATGATGGTTTAGGACTTTCGTGACAAGGCGAATACTAACAAGGATTTTAACTTTTGCGAACTGTATGTTTGGAATTGATTTCATATGTTTATAGATATATTGTATGAGGTAAAAAATATTTTTCTGCATACTTTATTTCAGAATAAAAGATAAGCAAAACAATGCTAAAATTTGTTTTTCCAAGAAAGAATTGTGTAAACTCGATGATAACCCAGTTATGTAAAAATGCTGTCTAGGTCCACAGAAATCCTCACAGGATAAATAACTGAACTGGACAACGACCCAGGAGCAGGGATTTTGATTGGTTGATGTAGATATATTAAGGACATTAGTTATGCCTGGCGCTGGTGCTTTCTTGCACAGTGGTAAAGTTCTACCCACTTTTCAAAAACGCAGGACTAGACATTAAAGATATCGATCCACACTGAATATTTAATTTCAACCCTGAGTTGAGCAAGTAGAGGATTTTTAAAGTTTATTGCAAATGTAATTTATGTACCTTCTTTATGTTAAAAAAATCTTATTCTTTGGAATTGTCTTTGTGAATAGATATACATTTGTATATAAGATTAATTTCAATTAACAGCTTGAAACATTTGAAAAAGTTAAAAAGATGTGGTTATAAATGCTGCTATCATTAATTTGTGCTGATTACTATAAGGAAGAACTAAAGTAGAAATGGTTGGGCTAGTACAGGCATCATCATCAATTTTTACCTTGACCTTTTATTTGACCTTGACCTCACATTTCTCAAATTGTGTTTCAGTCAGTTTTAATTACAGACATCATTTCTAGATATTTTATCATACTTCATACCTTGATACATATTGATGAGAGATATGCAACTGCGTCAACATTTTTGACCTTGACATTGCCTTTGACCTTGACCTCATTTTCCCTAAATCAGTGTCAAACGAAATATGCTGATATATACTGATTTAAGCAATTCAACTGCATCAACAATTTTGACCTTGAAATTTTATTTGACCTTGACGTCACTTTTATCAAATTGTGTTTAAGTCAGTTTTAATTAAAGACGTCATTTCTATATATTTTCATCACACTTCATATGTTGATACATATTGATGAGAGATATGCAACTGCATCAGCATTTTTTTACCTTGACCTTTCCTTGGACCTTGACCTTACTTTTTCTAAATTAGTGTCAAACGTGATAAGCTGATAGATATTGAGGTTAGCATTTCAAGTATATCATCATTTTTTACCTTTACCTTTCATTTGACGTTGACCTCGATATTATCCATTTGTGTTTAAATAAATTTCAAAGAAACCATTTTCAATATTTTTTCATCTTCATATGCTGATACTTACTAATGAGAGCTTTTTAACTGAATCAACAGTTTTTGTCTTTGGCATTTCATTTGAGCTTGACCTCACTTTTATGAAATTAGTGTCAAACTTCATAATAATGTTGATACATACTAATGTAAGCAATTCAACGGCATTACCATTCCAGATATTCTGATCAATTTTTATACACATACAAATTTTCATTACTAATAATGCTTTACTAATATACCCCCGGTGGGGCATTCATGTCCTATTGACATATTTCTAGGTTAATTCTAGGTTAATATGAGGTAAGCAGAGTGAATCACAGCTTACCAGGTACTCCTTGAGTGATATGCATAACCATGATAGCTTTTTTGCAGAGAGACTCAGATTTATGTATCACAATATATGTTTTAAAGATCAAGTAAATAAAATTTTGGTGTAGAATACCTACATAATTAATTAATCAAGGTAGAATACACTTGTATATAATTCTTTTTCTTTGGCTATAAAATCGTTTTTCTATGGGCAGAAAAGCATGACTTGATTGTCAGTGTCAACAAATGGATAATAATCCAGAGATGCTCGGATCTATATCATTACATGGAATATAAGTAAAAACAATATTGTTGATGATTTTATTATGTTCATTAAACAGTGTTGAAGCATTGTTATTTCTTCTTCTAGGGTTGGTTTCAATCTTCAGGAGAGGTTTTGTGGAAAGGTTACCTCAAATGATTTAGCACACACATATTTGTAGCATTCCTGGACTTCCCTAAAACTATATATCGGCAGAATTGAGTGATGCCTAATCAGAGAAGATAACTTTAAGATACAGTTTATGAAAAAATATCTTATATTAATATCAAACATGTTACATTGATATTAAACACATGCTGAAACATTCATCATTTGAAATTCATCTTTGACAAAACAAGGAATATGACTACGTGTATATGTAAACCCAATCTTTAGTAAATGCACTGACTTGTCTGAAGTATCCTTAAGGACGTTCGATCTTAAGATTTTGAGCGTATTTTGGTCAGGTCCTTTATTTATAAAATTATGCATCATTTTAAAGTTCTAACATTAAATTTAAATTCTACAGTGCAAATTTAACTATATTCAATGAAAATACCGCGATTAAATTCCATTCAAGTAGAATTTAGCTCGGGACTTTATTTTGTGGCGGAAAGTTTTTTAGACGAAAATGATCAGTTTTTCTATTTTGAACTATATCACAGTACTGTTAATTTTGGATTCCTATTTCTCAATCCTGGTTGCACACAAAGCTGTTTTTGCAGTGAAATGTTTTATGCTGGTTCTGAAATGTCATTTAAATTATTTCTAATGAATTCTACCAAATCTGACAAATCTAGTAAATATATTCTGAAAACCCGGGAAAAAATTGAACCAATTTTAAACGTAAAATTGACACTTTGTTAGTAATATCTAAAAATTTACATTATATACCTCCACTTTTGATGTCTTTTTCTATATATTCAAGATAAATTTGATCTATTTGCTTAAAATCAGAAAAAGGTTAAGACTTTAAAATAATTTTCTTGCTTATTAAATTTTCAATGCTCGAAAATTAATTTATATTAGTGCAAAGAGGTCAAATAATGGATTATTCGAAGCAATTTGAAACATTTCTTAGTCACAATTTTTAAGTGTTTTATTTTAAACAAACTTTGAGTTCATTTTGTTTCATGCTTTAATTGGATAAAAATATTGGAGGGAAAACGTCAAAAATTTAATTTTTAATTAAGACACAAATTTCAGTGCAAAAAGGTCATATCAAATGTACTGTAGCGCCAAAAGAAGTGTATCGACCCCTATTTTTTAATTTGATTTTAATTAACCCATGTATATAGAAACTAAAACTATATATTGGCAAAAAAAGTTTATGACTTTAAATATTAGCATCGAACGTAGTTAAAATGCTACATTATATCATGCTATGCAGTACAATAGCATCAGTGTAGATATTTGACTTTCTTCACTTGTTTTATCTCAACTTGAGCAACGAGCAGATTGTCATTTGTATCTGTACACAGTCCCCAGGGTTCACTCAGTCCACAGTCTATGTAACGGAGGAACTGTCCATCCTGGTCTATGATGTGGACACATTCATTGTAATCATCAGCGGTAAGAATGTGGCTCTGACTGTCTGTGGTGATTCCTCGAGGATAGAATAGTTTGTTCTTTGGAGCAGGGGTATGTCCAGTGTACCTGAATCTCAGTTTCCCGGCCTGATTGACCACCACTACTGCTCTAGCTCCCTCATCAGACTTACAGATATCCAGGTTCCTGTTCTCAGTTATATATCTGTCATAAAAACCAAATGAATAGAGAGGGTTACCTTGATCATCAAATTGAATGGTTTGTTTCTCTGTGAAGCCAGAGTAACGGACAACTTTTGTTTGTTCGTCATCATAACTGTCCATGATAACCAGCAGGTCACCAGAGGAGGTACTACAGACACCTTTAGGTCTCCAGTTCTGTAGTCTGATCACCTCCTTTATCTTCTTATTCTTCACAATGTTCACGGTTCCATCATTGGAATCAGTATAAACTAGGTCTCCACTTTTTGTCACTGTTATGTCAGTTGGCCATTCCCTTGACTTGGTTCTGATTGACTTGAGTAGTGATCCCTGATTGATACTGTAGAGTTTCATGGTGCTGTCACCTCCACTTGTCCAGATTTCTTCATCACTCAGACAGGCAACATTGTAAAGGTCTTCATACCCAGTGTCTATGGTGGTGACAGTCTCTGGTTCTGGGGGTGAAAACTTCATACTGTAATAATGTTCATCTGAAGTGAGGGAACTTAGCGTTAAATCTCCAAACATGTCATGAAATTCTTTTTCTTGAATTTTTCCTGGCATGAATTTAGGTATAGATGACACAATTTTTTGTGGAAGCTTTTTGTATCTATCTACATTGAATTTAACGCCGAAGAGTTTTGACAAGTCATTAGAGTTTATAGTGGAATTAACTGCATCAATTTCATCCTTGATGTCAGACATTGTTTTGTTTATTTCATCCAGATGTTTCTGTAGAGTTTGTAACTGTGTGATTTTCATCTCATCAACTTCAGCTTTAAGTTTCTGGACAAGTTTGTCAATTTCTCTGTGCCAGTCCTCTCCATGTTTTGTTATGGCTGTTGAGAGATCTCCATATTCCTTTTCTAACTGACTCATTCTGTTTTGTTCATCGGAGGCAATTTCCTGGAATATAGGGTAAATTGTCTCTTTCAATTTGGTATTTTCGTTGGATATTTTGTTCTTTTGTTCATCCAGAATTTGCAAAATAGTTATGAATTTATGACCAAGATGTTGATCAGATGCAATGCAAGTGTTGCAAACAGGAATGTCACATTGTTTACAGTACATTTCACTTCGTTCTTTGATGTGAGTTTTACATCCAGGGTAGAGGGGAGTGGATTTCTTGACCTGGTATTTGACGACTTTGTGATCCTTGGATTCATTTGTTGAGATGTGCTCTCCCACACAGGCCTTACACAGGTTGACAAGACATGTGTCACAGTGCATCTATACCACAGCGGTCTCACACAGGTCACATCGCAATACGTCCTGGGCACTGGTACGGGGGTCCATGATTAGAAGTTTTGTCTCTTGAATATACACAAATCCTTGTGAATAATTATTGACAAATAAAATATGATATGAAACAAAAAAATATAACAGAAATGTGTTTCAGAAAAATTAAAAACTGAATATCATGATTTGATGTATTTGAGACTGTTTGCTATGATCAATTAAATCGTTCAGTTTTTCAATAGATCAATCAAAAGAGTTTAAAAACTGAATCAGAGTGTGTCGAAACAGTTTTTCTTAGGATTTTCTCGTGATGAGCTATGACTAGTAAATTGTCCTAATTTTGAAGGCCAAAAGATGGCTGTGAAAATCGTAAAATTATTCAAAAAGTTAAGATCGCTAACTTAGGCACAGTTATGCTCAATTTACCAGTATATATATTAAGTTTAATGTACAAAGGAAAAGCCAGAGAAAGAAATTCTTGATAAGGAAATCTTTACAAAAATATAGTGAAATCTCATTCCAATGATGAAAAAATATATTTCAAAAAACTGATTTAAGGTCATTTTAAAAATTAGAAATATATATTCTTAAGGAATAAACCTACCTGATTTTCAGGGGACAATAATGGTGTCAGCCCAGTACAAGTCCTCTTTCTCTTTACTCAGGTCGGATGACAGTAGCCAGTTTAAGTTTGTCAAGTGCTTTACAATTTATACTACAAGTGCTTTAATATCTAGGTTATATTTTAATAATGTCAGCGTTCAGGAAGAATTTAAGTTTTACTCAAGCACAAAACTTGCAACACTTAAAGAAAAAAAAATTGAAACTAAAATTGGTTTATACAAGGAGCAAGCTGTAGAACTCTTTGAGTTTGAAAGAAGATGTTATTCCCATTTTCATGATTTTAAATTGAATGATATAAGATTGTAAAGAGATAAAAAGTTCAGTAATTATACATGTTATAAGCACAAAATATATCAAAGTCCATTTTTGATATTTATTTATTATATACATAATTTTACTGTTCATTTTACACTATCATGTGACGTAGTGATCCGACTTTCCAGATCACCACACTGTGGTCTTCTGAATCCATATCACCACTCTATGAAACCGCTGAAGTAATACGTACAATTGATCTCTTAAAGTTTTACTTTGCTATATTTAGCTAGTTATGAGGGGGTTTATAATAAAATTATCATTATAACATAACTTGATCCGAAGCCCAAAGAACATGCATCTAACAAATAAGCATTCAATAGTAAATTTCAGAATTATATATCAACTTAATGTTGTGTCTTTATTTTACCAAAATCTTGCCTCAAGCTTCCTCACAGTATTGGCCCAGCGGAAGAAAATTTAGAATCTTGCTTTGATTACACATATGTTTGCTGAGAAAATTTACAAGATGATATTTCTAGGCCTGAGTATTACAAGCTACCTAACGATACAATACATATCACAATATGGTCATGCAATACAACATGTATCATGTTACATCTGTCAACAATTAAATTAGCTGATATCTTTACATATTTTTGCTTGTTAACCTCTACAGTTATAGAACATATAAAAAAGATAAATTGACACCCTTAATCGAAGTTATATATAGGTGAAAATATAGTCTAAGCATTGTAGTTTTTCATTGCTACCTTGTTTTCAATCATTTTGTAACATAAAAATATTTCAGTTTTTCAGATAGAATTTTCAAATAACACAAAGAACATATCACGATACATACATTTCAACACAATATGCGTATCGTGAGACCTTGCTATCAATACGATCGATATATTGCCGTGTTGTTACACCTCTAGATATTTTTTATCATAGTAAACAAGGATTTCTTAGTGTATTGATTTTTTAGTCAATTGATTTTTTCACCACTTCTTTTTTTGAAATAATGAAATATAGTCTTATTACAATACTTTTTAATACTTTGTACAATAAAATAACTTTTTTGTTAAAACACCAACTGCAGTCTTGGAATAAATATTCATTTTGTGTTTAAACATAATCTATGCAAAGTGAAAAGTTGATTTTTTTATAATGTAAATATTTTGAACAATTAGCGTGCATCCGGATTTTATGATTTATGATGCACATTATGTTTAAGGGTAAGATCAATTGAATGTAAGTCAGAAAAGTCAAAAGGGGGAAATATATTTACAAAACATCCCTTCACCAACCAAAAAAAATTGAATTAAAAAAAACCAATTAAACCAACAACAACAACAAAAAAACCCCAAATAACTAATTGCTGTTGTCCTGAAAGTGGCATAATATATTCCATATATGCAAAAAGGCTGTATAGCCTACACATAATTTTCTCAGGAATAAAAATGTGAAAGGGCCGGGAGTTGATAATAAATTGTACATATTGTTGCAAATGCCAAAAAAGAATTTTTGCAAATCCGCACTTTTATACCTATCCGAATATGTTTACAGTTTTGCTCTACATATCTGAGGACAAAACTACGGTTGTATTTACTCAGCACTTTTTAAAGTCAAAGTTCAAGTGTTAAAAGTACTAAGGCTGTATAAGAAAATTTCATTAAAAGCAACAGGAAGCCATAATAAGTGCAGGAAACGAATAGATAATTAAAATGTCATTTTTTAGAAGGAAATTCAGCGTCTTGATCGAATGTTGTATTCAGAAAGGAAGTTTCTTTATTTTCTGAGTGGAATAAAAGGATTTAAGTTAAGAGATCTCAGTTTTGCTAATTGGTCTTCATATCTCAATATAAACTGTGAATACATCTACAACATTATTTTTACTGGTCAAATTAAAATTGTAGATGTCTGAATTTGACAAAAACGTCCCTTTGCTCCCCCCAATCACTGTAGGAAAGCTGTAGCTGCAGATCTGTCGCGTTATGGTTTTATATATTTGTCTTTGACCATAACGCTACAGATCCCGTAATGCAAAAAAGGTGCAATTTACGGCGCAAGTTTTTTTGCGCACTTTTGGGGAGAATTTCTCCACTTTCCAGTATTGGTCAATTAACTACCTTTCACTAAAAATTACTAAATGAGCGTTATGGTCAAAGACAAATATATAAAACTATAACTCTACAGAACTGCAGCTAGGAAAGGTGATGACTGTGATCTATATAACGGTCATCAAAACATGTCGGCCGGGTCAATCAATTGATTTTATATGGCGATTACAAACATTATTCAGTAAAAAATGAGTAATTTAAGGTATTGATGAAGCGAAAATCGATGTGATCTCCACGCCAGCATAGTTTTTGTTTACCCTAGTAACCGAAAATGAAAGAAAAACGCCTTTGAAATTTTGCAGTACGATGACCGTAACAAAACACATTCCAATGAGAAGATGATGACTGTTACACAATTACAAAGATGACCATAATCTTCATAGGCGTCGGAACCGGGGGGGGGGGGGCTTTATTTTTTTCCAAATATATACTTAGTATATACATTAAATATTGCTGCGTAGGTTTAGCCCCCCCCCCCCACACTTTCCACAGACACGTTGCAGTATAGGTTAAAAATGGGGAAAGCGGTGGTGTTCAGAAAAAAAATTGCTACTGAAGTTTGAAGGTTTTTTTTAAGGTAAAATTTATTTTACACTTAGCCCCCCATTTTCGATTTGCTTCCGACGCCAATGATCTATGAACAAAATCATGCAAAATGCATTGAAAATCTTATTCAAAATCAATTCATGTTTGTAACCATGCGATAGGCAACATAGGGAGCCCTTTTCCACTCTTTTTGAAACATACCTTTTCTATTGAAAATGATCATTGAAAAAGGGACACCCTCTCCTCCCAACTTTTCATTGCAATGTATAATGATTTATTATACTCAAGTAAGACAGTCATTAGACAGTCATTAGAAAGTCATTAGACATAAGGCCGCCATTAGAGAATGGAAATTAAACTGAACTAGTAGTACGAGATATTTATAAAGTTGATTCACTGAAAAACGAACTGATGGTTTCGAATTTTTTTTTTTCAAAATTAATGGAGGGGTGTTAAAGACAACGACAAATTAGCTTTAAAAGTTGAAAAGCAAAATAATAAAGGAATATTGTCCAAACTCTATAAAATTCTTCTAACTCTCTTTTACAAGAGGGGGTTAAATTTTAACTTAAATAATTTTTTTGGACATTATTTGGCTGTGCTGAAACAAAGCAGGGGACAATCTTTCAATGAACATTTCAACACATTAAATGCTGTATTTGAAAAATAAGTGGTAGGAAAAAACACACACCCCCCGGTCACATTTTTTTAATATCCAGATAAGTTGTACATCTCACAGCTATATCATAGACAAAAAATTTCGGTGCTTGCAAAACTTTTTGTAGGTATATATTTACTTATTTAAATCAAGTGTAGATAGACATACAAGGCAAGAATTTTGCTTTGTGACCGTAGATGTTAATAATTAATATCTAAATATATTTCATTAAATGTATGTAATGAAATTCAAGCTTCACTATTGCATGTTTTCTTAGTTGTATAATGGAACTCAGAATGGTTCCTGGTTGCCAGAACGTTAGACTACGATCACAGGCACTTGACGTATTTAAACTTTCTTTTCATAACTACATGTAAAAATATCCCCTATACTATAATAATAACCCTTAAGTAAAGGGGATACTTTTATTGATGTGTTTGTGAAACACTATGCGCCCGAGGGCAACATAATTCGAAAAAGCTATTTTTAGCATATATGTGACAGTCAAGGTCACATGTCACAAGTGTTGTTTGAAAGAACTTGATTACTGAAGTATGCACACAAAATATGAAGTCTCTATCTCCTATGGTTCAAAATTTTTGGCAAAGTTACGAAAAAGCTATTTTTAGCCTATAGGTCAGTCAAGGTCACCAGGTCATTTACCTTGCTGTCATTTGAAAGAACTTGATTAGTGGAGTATGCATACCAAATATGAAGTTTATATCTTTCATTGATCAAAAGTTATGATGAAGTTAAAGTTAAAGTTTGCAGAAAAGGCTATTTTAGCATATAGGTCACAGTCAAGGTCACAAGGTCATTGTCCTTGGTGTCATTTGAAAGAGCTTCATTAGTGGAGTACGCACACCAAGTATGAAGTCTCTATCTTTTATGGTTCAAACGTTATGGCGAAGGTTAAAGTTTTCAAACAAACAAACACACAGACAGACAGAACAAATACAATATAAGTCAATAAAAAATATAAGCTAAAAAAGGTTAAAATCGTCAAGCGTCATGACTACGATGTGTACAAATCATTATTTTGACGCTTATCGCCCCTTTTGATAATTTTTCACTCATATGGAGACGCCACAAATTGCCAGTAAAGAATTGCAAATTTTGTCCAATACTCGGCACTCAGGGCCATTGAGGAATGAGGAATCCTTTTTTACCAGCTCCAATTGAACCATGGAGAACGATTTAAAAATCTAAGAATTGCAAATTTTAAGTTAAGATTTACCCGATACTGTACAGCAGGAAATTAACTCGTGGAGTTAATATTCGCTATATTCGCGGAAAAAGAAATTCCGCGAATTCAGCATACAGTGAATAATTCTCAAAAAGTTTTATAAGTATAAATTGAAATGTTATTATTTTCTGTGATCAGTTGTAGACTGTCTTCATAATTATGCGAGTGCCTAGATCAAATACAAACACGTAGTTGTTGCTGTTTTTAAAGCTTATTAATTGTTTAATTCATTTCGATAGCTAAAGATTAATTTTGCCATCTAGTAGACGTGCGATGTAATTATTTAATAAAACATGCTTGTTTAATTTCACCCGTGCGCATCGCTCAGTCATTACCTTTAATCAATTAAAGGCATTTACGTAGTAAACAGGGTAACGACAATTAATTAATTTCAATTACATGTATATGATTAAAAGTTAAAAAAAAATTACTACGGTATAAGTTTTTACTAATTTGGACTCTGAAATAACAAAATTAAATGTGTAGCATATTATGACTTCAAATCGGGATCAGCCCTGTGTTTCGTTATTATTCAATCGGGATTTCATTATTATTCAATCGGGATCAAATTTGACACAATATATAGACTTTACTTTTCTGTTTGATATGCGCGATATAGATTACAGACTTTTGTAATATACTATAGAGACGGGAAATGGCAGTTCACACAATATATACCTAAGGAAAAATGCTTGCAAATATTGTTCAAGAAATTTATGATTATTCCTTTTCCGCGAATTCAAATGTCCGCGATTTGCTGAAAATTGAACAAATCGCGATCTTTTCCGACCGCGATTTTAACCTGCTATACAGTATATACAGGGAGGTGAATTGATTGAAAATTTTCCAGTGTCTACATTCAGTTCTAATTTTTAATGCTGAATTTTTCTGTAGACAAATGGTTGAATAATATTATGTTTGAAAATTATATTTACATCTTTGATAAAATAATTTCCTATATCTGCTTCTACAACAGGGAAAAAACATTAAATTCGTTATAGCACGGTTATCCCACTTCAATGTCAGTAAGAAAACATTAAATTCGTTATAGCATGGTTATCCCACTTCATCGTCAGTAAGAAAACATTAAATTCGTTATAGCACGGTTATCCCACTTCATCGTCAGTTAGAAAACATTAAATTCGTTATAGCACGGTTATCCCACTTCATTGTCAGTAAGAAATCATTTTAGGGAGGAGACCATTATTTCTAAAGGATCCTCTCTGCCACGAGTTATTTGCGCATGGAAATATGCTTTTCCAACATATGTAAACGTGAAAATAACCGGTTATAAAATAACCGATATAGTTATAAATCTTCTACGCCCAGTAAAGAATACCAATCCTGAGCAGGGCAAGCAATAGAGGTGGGATCAGGTGTCAAGGAGGAGTACACATCCCCTGTAGACCGGTCACGTGCACCGTGATGAAGTAGATGAGGTAATCTGTAGTCAGACTGGTTTAAATCAAAGGCTTAACAATAGGTGGGGAAAAGTCAACGTTTGTATATTTCAGTTTCAATTACCGTTCAAATCACGGTTTCAGAGCTAATTATATTGTTCCCCCCAGAGCCTACTAGAATATTCCATAGCAGTTTTTCAGCCTTAGTATCTGATACCACTGCATAGTTACATTATTAATACTGCAATAAAATTGTTTCTTTTCATCTATAGACGCAAGAAACGGAGCACAGGCGATAGCTACCTACAGCCCAAGGACTCTCAAAGAAGTTCAGGGACCTGGTACCAAGGGCTCTGACAATGAAACATACAAAGAACGGAAAACTGACTCACAGAATTCTGACAACACATACACACAACAGGATGTGGCAGATTCCAACAAAAGAAAAAACGTCTCACAAAATTCTGTAAAAAGCAGAAAAAAGCAGGACCTACAAATATCCGACGACTCCTTCTCAAAGCATGGACAATTGATTTGCGAAAATATAAATACAAAACAAGAAAAAAAAAAGAATTCATGAAATCTAGTTAAAGATGCTATAATAATTAGGGTTATATCAAGCGGAAAATGTTCTTAACAGAAAGGTTTCCGCCATGAGTGTTAAACTTGCATGAAAATTGAAAGTTGTGGTGTTTATCTTTACTTCAAATCAAAAATCACTAATGATTTCTTCCACTGTTCTTCGATTAAAAAAAATATATGTTCACTTTTTAGCTCACCTGAGCCGAAGTGAGCTTTTCTGTTCAAAATTGGTCCGTTGTCTGTCGTTGTCGTCGTAGTTAACTTTTCACATTTTCATCTTTTCAAGAACCACTGCGCCAATTTCAACAAAATTCGCCACAAATTATCCTTGCGTGAAGGGGATTCGAAGGGCCACCCCGTCTTCCAAGGGGAGATAATTTTTAATTAGTGAAATATTAATGGCATCTTAAAAACAATCTTCTTCTCAAGAAACACTGGGCCAGGAAAGATGAAACTCAGGTAGGGTAGGGCCACAATAAGGTTTATAAATATTTCATTGATTAACAGATAAAAAGTGTCATTTGAAAGCAAATATTAAAAAAAAAATTGGGGAAAAAAATATTTCTAAAAATATACATTTTAAAAAATGGACCTGCTAAAAATCGTACATTTAGTGAAAACCATCATTGCAAAAATATATTTAGCATTGAAGAATAAGTTGGACGTGAATTGTCTCTGAAAGGCTGTTATTGAAAGTATGACATAAATAAAGATTAGACCTCCTATAAAATTCGCCATTTGCAATGTCCTTTCGGTTTCAAATCTTACAATCAATAATAAGTGCGGAAAGGAATTTAACTTTCCAGAGTCTATAGATGTCCATCTTACCCTTCATCGATATTGCAATCAAGGCTTTAAATGAAAGTATGAAATTAATTACGTTTATTTTTTAAAAACTATATCTTTTTAAAAAAGAATTTTTCTGGTTAAATATTTGTTTAAGTATTTGTCATCAAGTGATAATTTCTATATCTGTTAATCAATGATATATGTAAAATTTGTAACAGTTTTAACTAAATATAAAGCACACAGTTTTTTTGTTTTCAAAATAAATGTTAGGACATATTGACCTTTGGCAAAACCTTAAATGGTATACTGGAGTTGAGAGAAAAATACTAGTATATTAATTAGAAACACACTTTATGCAATCAAAATTAATATTAGTGACTAAACATTTCTTAGGGTTAGAGACATACTGGGGCCAATTTAGCCTAATTAACTTGGGACCCTATTTTTATGTGACTTATACATCTGGTAGATTTAAAACATTTTGATATTAAAATGTCTGACTGATACTAAAATAGATGGTGTGTAAACGTTTATCTTATGTCACACCAATGATGTCCTCAAAATATTTAAGATATAGGCATTTAATAACCTTCATTACATCCAATTGTGTTGTATTACCTATGTTTTATACAACACGTGATATCCGAGGGCTTCCGTGACAAGACAAATAATAACAAGGATTTTAACTTTTGGGAACTGTATGTTTGGCATGTTTTCTTATGTTTATATACCTTTGTAAACTTTATGATAACCCAGATATGTAAAGGTAGTGTCTTGCTCCACAGAAATTCTCTCAGGATAAATAATTGCATATATTGGACAACTACCCAGCAGCAGGGATTTTGATTGGTCGATGTAGAAAAATTAGAGACATTAGTTATGCCTGGCGCTGGAGCTTTTTTGCACAGTGGCAAAGTAAGTTCTACGTTATTTTCAAATACCCCCAGGACTAGACATTAATATCGATACACACTGCACACTTTAAATTCAATTCTCAGTTAAACAAGTAGGGTATTTTGAAAGATTATTCTTAATGTAATTTATTGTCGTTATACAAGTACATTCTTTATGTTGAAAAAAAATCTTATTCTTTGCAATTGTCTTTGTGCACAGATAGGATTCTTTACAAGAAAAACATTTTAAAAAGTGAAAAATAATAAGTGATAATGTTTCTATCATTCATTTATAATTAATGTGTGCTGACTGCTAACGCAGTACGGTTGATTAGTACGTGAATCGTCATTTTGATAACAAAAGTCAAATAAAACATTCAGAAAGGAAAGTTATCTCTACTTTCATTTTCAGAAGCCGACCAAAAGGGAGGAGGTATAATAAAGGTTATGGGAGGGTGGTGTTTTACAAGTGTTGAATTTTGGTTGTTAGATTTTCAAGTAAAATATCCTAGTATGAAACAGATGTGTTAGACTTTGTGGTATCTTTTATCTCAAACTCACCAGGATATATGGTATCGACTTAGGAAACGAAATCACCATTGTTATTTGACAATACGCCGTCGATATATTTAAATGTCGAGTTGAAGGGGTTGAAGTTGAGTTTAAGACAAAATAATTTTGTAAATGACCATAAATGACCAGAGAAGTAAATTTACGAGTTCCATTTTTATTGAAAAATCAATCATTTGAAGGAAATATAAGTATTATAATATCGACCGCATCAAGATTATTTCTATTGTTTTGGTTACTTAAGTTTAAGATTGTTATGGTTTATTACTAATGCTTAGGTTGCAACTTCGTAATTTTGAAGTTTTGTGAGTTTCTTTTAACTTTCCACGGCATGAGTGATCAGAATAATTTTTTGCAGGTTAAATTCAGAATTCATTCAAACATTCTTTGAAACAAGGATCGATTGTATTTATTTTTGTAGGTGACCCTAGAGCGTGTGATCGGTCTTACGGTCAGCACCAATGCGACCTTGACCTGTGACCTCAACACTGGGACCATCGCTTATCCTGCAGGGTGTGTATCAGATTGCACACACGTTTAAGTGTTTTTATTCGTGTTTTGTCTTACACTATACCATGTGTATTCATTTTTCTAACTTAAAAAAGTGAATTTGTACAAAAAGTCTTTTCCATACATACGTATCATGTATGGCGTGTACCAATAGAAGAAATATTCAAAACACGTATATGAAAAAGTGGGAATAGATATTGAAAGATTAGGTTAATCAGTGATGTTTGCCGCATAGGAAATTTGACAGGGAGGTTCAACAACAATCAGTCAATCAATCCATTCACCATCTTGATATCATTTTTTTTTATAGAAATATACTGATCATAAAAATAGTCCCAACTACCTCGTAGATAAATTAAAAAAAAACGATTCAAATATTAACTTTTGAAACATTTGATATCTTTTTTGTTTAATTTTTAATGAACATAGATATATATATTTGAACAGGAAGTTAGTCGCATACAACGCTGCAGTTTTATCTCATTAGAATTGTGTACCCCAGACAGTGTCTAAATTTGAACAATTCAAGTTCATCTATTTAGTCTCTCAGTAAGCCTGAACGATCGAATGACTTTAAACTCCACATACGTGTACATATGTTTTATCTTCTGAGCATTGACCCAGTTTAATTCTACACTTTAAATTGTATATACTAGAATCTATAGACCATGAGCTATTTTGTGTCATTGTCATTGATCTCGATCCTTGAATGCAAATGGTTGACAATATATTCCCCTGCTATGTCATTTATTGAATTGCTGATTTGGCAAAGTCTGCCAATCCATGCAGACGATATAAATATATAATTTGTAAAAATAGATCAGAAAAGTTCAGATATTAGACCAAGTAAAGTAGACAGGTATATTCCGAAAAAGGTTTAAAAACCTATGTTTTTATCGAGTTTTAATGTTTTATCTTGCATGAATAGAAAACAGAGATTTTTTTCATCTACTTATGGTTTTTGTAATGGTATGTGCTCTTAAAGAAAGGAGTCTTTTGTTCAAATCATTATTAAAAAAGGCCGAAAAAATTATCTTTATGGAACGTAAAAAAATAGAAATAAAGATTGTATGTTTAATTAAGGTATGTAACTCGTGAAATTTTTTAAATCAAGGATTTTTTTAGAAGTATATTGTATATTTTTGATAAGTACTCATATAGTATGACTCAAAGTCGTAGAGAAAATAGGGGGTCAGTGTGCGTTTTACTGAGCTAGGGTACAAATTAAGTTGTCCTTTTTGCACTTAAATTTTAATTCTTTGGATAATCACTTTAACCTTTATAATATTTTATCAGATGTAACCATGGAAATAAATATAATCTTATTTTACCTGAAATAGTTTGAATAAATATTTGTCATTGAAAAAACCGTGAAAATTAATGCGCGTAAATTCTTGTGTGACCTTTTTGCATTAAAAATTAACATATTTTGGGTATTAAAAATCTAAACCGGCACTAAATTATTTTCTTATATCAAACTTTTATGACTTAAATGCTGATCAGTCACAAATGTCCCGTAGTTTGAAATAATGAAAGAAAAAGTTGGGGTCAGTGATGCTAATTTTGAAATATTAGTCAAAACGTGTGATTTTCAGGCGAAAAACGGTGCAAATTTTATCTTGACTTTTTTTTAAACATATCTTCATTTCTCGGCAAAGTTTGTTGAGGGAAGGTATAAAATTTGTTCTAAAAAATATTAATTGAGACCTATATTAAATATTCCTAGCATTTCATAACGAAAAATATTCTCTGAGAAAAGTATGTAAGGCTAAAGTTCCAAGATATTGAATTTCATAAATGTGCAGATTTACAGGATTTTCTGCTATATATCCTTCCATGACAAGAAATAGTCCCTCATAAATCTTGCTTTTGTGTGGATATTTGAACATTTTTTTTCATTGAATGTTGAATAATATACATTGTTGAATTTAAATATGTTATTCAAACTGAATTATAACAAATAGTTTTGAAGTAAGAGGTTCCGCGTGAACTTTTCTGACGAGTGACATACCTTAAAGGGGCCTGTACACAGTTTCAAATGATTTTTTTAATCCAATATTTTAAAATGTTTACAATTCCTACCTAAGACAAACAAGATACAGAACTTAAAGTTCTTCATAATAAAACAAAACTCGTGCCTTGTTTTTGTTTACATTTAGAAAATATCATATTTATAACAGAATATTTACATTACATTTCCAATGTCTTTGTCCAAGATTAAATTACCAATTGTAAATGTACTTTTAATTTATTTCCCCATCAATGTATTGGCGCGGTTCCAAAAAACCACGTGCAGGGCGGGACAAACAGCGTTTATGCGAATTATCACGCAAGCCAATCGATTGATCACTTCATGAAATCGAAAAATAAGACAGTTATTCCTTAAATGAAGATCAGCAAATCAATAGTAACTGTCAAATCGTATTTGAAATTAACTTTTATTGAAATTATTTTTTGAACGAACATACATTAGTATATTAACCTGTGTAAATAAAAACATGACACTGGCATCCTTTACATAACAAATGATCTGTCTTGTATCTAGACAACTGGCGTTCAAATTTTCGATGATCATTAGACAGACCCTAGTAAATTATTTTTTTTTTTAATTCTTTATTTATTTTACACAATCTGTTTTATAAATCAAAATACACATTTTATCATAGTACAGATTGGTTTTTCAGAAAGAGAGAGAGAGAGAGAGATGGGAGAAAGAGAGATAAAGGAGGGAGAGGGAGAGATGAAGATAAAAACAATTGCAAATCGGTGTCAAAAATCTCTCTGTCACCATTTTTAATAAATAACTTTTATAAAAAAATTTAATATGTGAAGTCGCAAGTCTGACATCTAATTTTTTTCCTAAGCATATATTTTATTCCCAAAATAAAAGTATGCTCACAATATTAACTGTTGAGGAAGGTTTGTACATTGTCACACTCCCATAAAATAATTATAAAAACATATGAGTTTGTTAGTATTTTATTTAGAATTCTGTATTCCTTTAAATAAAAATAAATCTTGTTTTCCCAGTGTTCAATATCATTTACATTGATTAATTCATAAAACTGTTTCGCTTTTTTACACATTGAAAGAAAATGAGTGCTGGACAAAATTAATGGGTTAGGTAATTTTGCAATTATATCATTAGTGTCTGTTGCTTTCATATGCCTTTACAGCATGTATTATACCTGCAAAATCTAAGAAATTGAGCCTTAAATTTGGATATATGCCACAAAATTTCAAAACTATCAGGAACCATTTTCATCTATGATCATTAATAAATTAATATTCAAGACCAATGACAATTTTAGATTATAAAAAAATTACCTTTTGTAAAAATGGATGTTTTTAATATATATGTTAGGTAAAATATTTTGTAAATTTTAAGCTGAAACATTGCTCTAATATTTATCATTTTTGTCATATTTTTTCACTAAGACATCTTTCTTTACTCTGTGTTCATTCCATACAAATAAATTCAAAAGGTTTTCTGGTGGATTTGGAATAGCAATAAAACAATAGGTGATCTTTTTCCACTGACTAAAATATAATTTTGGTTCATAATGTCTTTCAATTTCATTCAAATCAACATCATAATGAATTCCAAGTAAGGTTCTTAAGATTATACTCATTAGATAAATCTTTTGGGATCCAAACTCGAACAATTGATGTACAAACCAGACATTTCTGAAAAAATGTTTTCATCACTTCTGTTAATGATTCTTTGCTACCATCTAAAAGGATTGAAGTGTCATCTGCTAATTGGGATATTTTCTTTTCCATATTTTTTACTGTAATTCCCTTGATTTTTTTATTTTTTCTTATCATTATTTAAAATTTCTGCACACAAGATTATAGGGTGATGTACACCCTCTCTGTATATCAAATCTTTGTGAAAAATTACCACTTTGATTAATTGTGGAATTTATATTGGTATAAAACAATTTCACCCATTTTTGTATTGAGGGACCTAAATTAAAAAACTGTAAGGAACTCTGAATAAAATTCCATGAAATAGTATCAAAATTTTCGAAGTCAATCAAAAGCAACAAGCCTGGTATATTTTCTTCTTCTGTGTACTGCATTATATCATAAATTAAACGTGTATTTTCTCCTATGTACCTATTTGAAATAAATCCGGTTTGATCACTATTTATCAATTTGTCCAATTTATTTTTTATTCTTTAGCAATAGAACCTGATGCAATTTTTATAGTGTTATTGGCCGCCAGTTTTTTAGAAATTGTCTTGGCTTATCCCCCTTAGGTAAAAGTGTTATATACCATGTCTCTGTGTGATAGACATAAGATTATTCTCATATGCATAATTAATTGATCTAACAACAAAAATTTCCAAAAAACTTTAAAAAATTCTGCCGAAAAACCATGTGATTTGTCTGCTTTCATTTTATTTAAAGTGCTAGAAGCCTCCTGTAAAGTAATGAAACCTTCTAATTCTTCAGCTTCTGCATTAGATAATTTTGAATTCTCACTTATTAGATTACAAATTCTTTCAGTGGTTCACTCAATACAGATTCAGAATATAATTTTTTAAAAATTCTTTGTTTCTTCTAAAATTTGTGCTTGATTGTTGTATAATCTAGCATAGGTATTATTTTACTGTATAGTTCATCAACAGAAATATTTTGTAATCTACCCATCGTGCCCTACTTCTTACACATATAACTTGTAAATAAATTTTCATCTTGTTTTTTGTTTTCCAAATCAGAAATATTTTCATCTGTAATATTTTCTTCAAGTTTATTTATTTCTTCTCTTAATTTTTTTTCTGCATTTTCATTTTTCTTTTTTAGGTATGTATGAAATACTTTTGCCCCTGATTTTCATTAGGAGAGTTTCAAGAAACAATTGATCATTTATAGTTAAACATATGTCTTTGTCGTGAAGAGAATCTATACATTTTCTTTCATAAACTGGTACAGCATACTGCTTTTTAATATTACTAATAACCTCTTTAATGCTATCTAAGTACTCTTTGTCCCTTAAAAGAGAATTATTAAACTTCCAGAAGCCTCGTCCTTTTTTAAAGTCATGAAATTTTAACACCAAAGAAATCATTGAATGATTGATCTATAGCTAGTTTCAATGTTACATTTATTAAGGCAAGGTAAAAGTGTTTCTGACATGACAAAAAAATCAAGACGACTCTGTTTAAAAGGCTTTTTCTTGCGCCGAGAATACCTTCTGTGTTTTTCATGTAGTTGTCTGTCTATATATCCATTGACTCCATAATTTCTAATAATTTACTTCTAGCCTTTGGGTTGTTTACATGTTTATAATTAAAATAATAGTTCTGGATTCAATACTAAATTAAAATCCCCGCACCATACAATATTACTACAATTCATGTCCTCTAAATATGATTCAATATTCTCAAAAAAACTCGGAGTGTCATTATTTGGACCATATACAGTACATATTACTAATTCATGACCTTGAATACAAGCTTTAATAATATGAAAATTTCTATCTTTATCACCTTTTTCTGATAAGACCTTGAAATCAAAGTTGTTATTTACAAGAAGTGCAACACCTCTGGAAAGAACTAAAAAAACATTTATAACCCCATAAGTTTCTCACTTCATTCTCAATTTCAGATGAGAAGTGAGACCCTAGTAAATTATTTGTAAAAATGGAAAAATATATTTGGAAATTTTAGCTGAAACTGTGTTCATGCCTCTTTAAATGAAAATTTAGCAATAAAACGTTAGGATTTTTGTAAAAATATAACAATGTTCTATAAAGATATCGGTCACTCGTACAAAAACAAGTATTCAAGCAACATTATGTGATGTCCTTGATAGCACTTTTAAGGTCTTAGATTCGACAGTAATTTTTATTGAAGACGTTTAATTTCAATTTTCATTCATTTAGTTTATAGGATACATCCACTGAACTCTAAAAAAAACATAAACAGAGTCTTACCCAATTGTTCCCTATTTGGATTGTTTACTTGAGTTGCATTACCTTGTTGATATCCGTGTATCATCAACTGTAATACATGTAATACTGTAATACATTTGTAAATACATGTAGCTTGCCTCGTTGTAGAAATTGTTCATAAATAGAGCATGCTCTTGCGTATCGAATCAACATGGAAACTTTACCTCCATCTGCAAATGATAAAGATATATATTGCTACATGACTAAGAGGTGTTGACGATAATAAAGTTGAAGTCATCACGTTTATATTCAGTTTTGCCTAGTTGTAAATACCGTATAAGTAGAATTTTTAGCGAGGATGCTGAGATCGCTAAAATTAAATATCGCTAAAAATAAATTTCATTGTATTTGTAATAGCTTCTTTAATGTGGCATTTTAAAATCGCTAAAATAACATCTCGCTAAAAATAAATTACCAGTTTTTAAGGTCAAATCGCTAAATTTGCGTCTCGCTAAAATTTCCACTTATACGGTATTGTTCATAAATAGAACCGGAAGGCTTAAACTCCATCTGCAGGTGTTAAAGATATATTGCTACATGAATTGCTACATGAATGAGAGGTGTTGACGATAGAAAAGTTGAAGTTATCACGTTTATCACTTAGTTTTATTGTTAGATGTTAGATGTCAGAATTGTCTTTATCTAGTAAAATATTTAAATAAGAAACAAATGTTTCAGACTCTGTGGTGTCTTTTAATTCGAGTTCAAAGGGATATGTCGAATCAACGTAAGAATGAAAATATTGGAAATCAATAAAAGTCGTCTTGATAAATTCTGCTTTTTTGGATTACAAAAAATAGTCGAATACATGTGATTATCTCTTATTCTGTCGATTCTCTTGGTTCGGTAAAAATAACTTCAATAATATAAATTTTGATATAATTTTCAGATGTGTGGTGGTCATATTTAATCCCCGAAGCAACAAGCAGTCCTACATATTCAACACCTGCAGGAAAACCATCACAGCAGTAGCTTTTTCTCATGACGGCAAGCACCTTGTTACTGGGGAGGTATAACATTTAACTTTTTCTTTTATTATTTTTTGTCTGAAGTTGAAATTAATAATATGACAATAATTTGTCAAGTACTAGTAATCATTTTCAACTTCACATTGAAAATGAATTAAAGATACTATACATTTCTGTAACATAAGAGGGTATCCTTATGTGTTCTTGAAAAGCATACAAACATATAATTATATCTTTTATTCTTTTGGATTATAATCAACAATGAATGAAATTGTGTATGATATTCGAAGATAGTTAGTATTTCATCACCTACTATTTTTGCAGTGTGGTAACCAGCCGGCTGTGCGAGTCTGGGATGTGGCCGAGAAAACACAGGTGGCCGAATTCCACGGACACAAGTTTGGAATTGTCTGTGTTGTAAGTAGATACGGAGAAAATCGTGTTCATCAGAATACAAATTCATTTCTGAAGGCAAACGTTTCGATTGTATGATAAACTTTATTGTGAAGGATTATGCAAGAGATATCAGGCAAAATGAAACTCTCTGGAATAAAAATACTTTATGTTCTATAAAAGATAATTCTCTCTATATATAAATACATGAATAAATTACGATTAGCCAACACACTCGAGTAATGCTGATAAATTTGGTGTCGCTGAAGAAATAAAAAAAATGAAGTTAAAAAAAAGATACTTTCAAGCTTCCTCCAAAACACGCAAAATGTATCAAACTTTATACACAACCTTTCCCCGCGAAAATTAAAGTCAAGGCTTTTTCATATCATTGACAGCTTCTTTTTCAATAAAATGGCACTCGAAAATTTACTTACCTCGTCATTGGTCATTTGCAAAATTCTGTTAAAACATTCTGATTGCAAACATAAGTACTCTGAAGTCGACTTCAAAAAGATGCTTGAGTTTCTGATTTACAATTTCTATGTGGGTTTTGGAGACCAGGTCTTCCAACAATCTGTTGGAATTCCCATGAGTACCAATTGCGCTCAGTTATTTGCAGACGCTTTTTTGTTTTCATATGAAGCAGAATTTATACAAAATCTTATACGTGAAAAGAAGAAAACACTTGCTATGGCCTTCAACTCGACATTTAGATATATCGACGACGTATTGTCAATTAACAATGGATATTTCCATTCCTATCTCGATACGATATACATGTATCCTGATGAATTTGAGATAAAAGATACAACAGAGTCTGACACACTCGCTTCATACTTGGATAATTTACTTGAAAAAAAGTTAATGATAATCTAACAACCAAGCTCTGTAATAAACGTGATGACTTTACCTTTTCTATCGTCCCTTACTTATGCAGCAATATACCTTCATCACCTGCATTCGGAGTTTATATATCTCAGTTGATTCGATACGCAAGAGCATGCTTTATGAATGAAAAATTTCTGAACAAGGTAAATTATTGACAATCAAGTTAATGAAACAAGAATATCAGCAGTCTCGTTTAAAGTCATCAATTTGTAAGTTCTACGATCGATACAATAACATTGTTAGCAAATACAATTTATCATTGAGTCAAATGCTGACTGTTTTTCATACTAATTGTTAGTCCATTATTTATACACTGTATTTTTCTGGGCTATTTTCTATTATTTTATGGACTTTGATTTTGAATATTGTTCGTAATCTCCATATCCTTCTTTGCTATATGCTGTATTTTAGAAATTCTCCCCCGCTGAAAATTACGTGGTGTCGATTGGATCAGAACATGACAAGATGGTTAATGTCTGGAACTGGAAGAAAAAGATCCAAGTAGCATCCAATAAAATCATTAGCAAGGTATATATGTCATGTACATGTACATTTGTAATCCTTTAAGGACAGATGCTACAAACAAAAACGGATATATATGACTTGTTAAATATTTTTGGTTTTATTTGAGCTGTAAATGAAGTCCATTTCTAATCTCCTTATTATCAAGAAATTATAAACTTTCCACAATATGCCTAGTTTTCCCTTATGCAATTAAACTTACAAATCCATATGCGTTTTCTTTTTTACTCTCAAAGAGCAATTTTAAGAAACGTTGAATAAATAATGACGTTTTATCCTACCAAACATATTCATTCACTTACAAAAAATAGATTTATTTTTAATTTTCCTGATAAAGTGTGGTGTTTAGATAATCTATCTTTAAGGGACAATCATGTTTTTACCAAAAGTACGGTTTTCTGTTACGTTTCACACAAAAATGTACTTCATGAAATTTCGTTTGTGCAAAGTTTCTATTTTGTAAATATATATCTGTAACATAACAACAAATAAACTGCGATATTATTTATATAGGTGAATTCCATGGCTTTTTCAAAAGATGGCTCCATATTAGTGACTGTTGGTCACCGTCATGTAAAGTTTTGGTATTTAAAGGACACTAAATCAAAGGTAACTGTAAGTTTTAAAAAATGGGTTCATTTTACACCATTAAAGGAATCAAAATAAAAAAAATGAAAAAAGTCTATTAATAGCAATAATTAAAGGGAGGTTAAGATTTTAAAGTCGTCTGTGAATTAAAAATATGTAAGTGAAGAACAGCAAATGATAAAGAGGATGGTAAATAAATTGCAAAGATTAATTCTAATTGTAGAAAATCTTAAATGAGAAAGAGAGAGAAAAAAGGGAAAGAGGTCAGAGAAAAGTGGCAGAGAAATTGGAGTAGAGGTAGAAAGAGGGAGAAGGGGCAGAAAAAGAGATGTAGAGAGAGCATGTTTTCTGAATTACAGATGACACATTCCCTAACAATAAGAAACCTCTTTCTTGGTAGATCAATCAGACGGTGCCTCTGCAAGGAAGTAGTGGAATCCTTCGCTCCCACCTAGACAACTTTTACTGTGACGTCAGCTGTGGTCACGCGGTGTACACCATAACTCAGTCTGGCCTTCTGTGTCAGTTCAACGAGAAACGAGAGCTGGAAAAGTTTGTGGAAGTGCAAGTAGGTCAAGTCTCATCAACTTCAACTATATGAAAAAATTTTTTCATAAATTTCATTTTCTACATGCAAAAAGTAAAAAAAAAAGGTTAGCTCATAACTGGCGATATTTCTAGTGAGCTTTTCAGGGCTTTTAAAAACATCTTCTTCCTCCTTTCCACAAAACTTTGCCATCCAAGGAACTGTGATCTTGTGTGAACATTTTAGGCCAGTTTTTGGCAAATTATTTTGTCATTCTTTAAAAAATATTTTCGTCTGGTAGGAACTACTACTTGTTCTTTTTGATATAACCAGGACATTCCAGGTCGTGGTATTGATTTATTCTTCGGCAATCAGGTACTACCCTCAATATACACTATACAATTTTTACGTTGAGGACAAAGTTATATTTTTTCTGTTGTTGTATATTTTGTCAATGAATCTGTAAGTAGCCTGACCACTTCTCAAGGATTTTACATATTTTGAATACCGGGGTATTTAATATAAATGCAGTAACAAAAGACAAAAAGTTTGGTTGAAAAATTGGATTAAATACTAAAATTGCGTGACTTTGATATGAATACCAGTGCATTAACAATTTAAGGTTTTTTAAACTCGTGTTAATTTGGTTTTTGAATTGTTCTTATTAAAATTTTATTTGTGAGTCGTCTACTTTATCAGGCAACCGCTGCATATTGCATCTCGGCTGGTAAGGACTACATATATGTTGGTTGTGCTAACGGTGTTGTCCGGATGTTTGATGCCAATCTGCAGTATGTAGCTACGATGCCACACCCACATTGGCTGGGAGTCGATGTTGCTTTACCTCCTAATCACAGGTATGATACAAACTTACCAGGCGACACATTAATCCTAGGTTTGATACTGGTATATGAAGAGTATTTTTCGGTTCCAGGTAGGATACACAAATATCAGGCGAACATCAGTCCCAAATATGATTCATGGATATTAATGGAATTTTAGGTTCATGTGATGCACCGTACATTATATTTTCCTCAAGAGTAGATCGATGTTTAAATTTTAATATAGTAATGCTTTTATCTTTAAGCTACTAGATTTCAGCTGTTGTCCATAGGTCCATAGGGTAGGGTTAGATGAATACAATAAAACATGTTTGGAACTGCATTTGTCGTTCGTTTTTTTCAGTCACCTGACTTTTCAAACAGAGGATGCTAGATTCCCTGACACCATTGCCATCAGCTATGACGATGTACACCGAAAGGTAAAGGCTGAGTTGTCTGAAAATAAATGATTTTAGAATATAACTATATTAAGGTTCATAAACCCTCTGCTTGCTCACATATAATGTTGCTTTAATCTTAATGATTTTCCAAAAGAAATGTATGTAAAAACAAACAATTATAGCATGGCTTACGAGGCAAATTTGGACAAAAAAGACATTCCAACTCGACAAATTTATAAAGGAATGATAGACATTTATGTCTTTAAGAGTTACCTCTCTTAACAGAGTATCAATGAACCTTATTGAATAGAATATTAGATATTTTTATTAAATTTAAATTACTATTCTTTTTTTCAAAGAGTAAAGGTAATTTGGAAAGTTTTTTTGAAAATATATGTATTCGTTAATGCAGAACAGGATCTTATTGGCTCTGTAAAGCGTTTTACAGAGTCTACTTAACCGAATGGACTTTCCTGGATGATGCAGTGTATCATAGTTTAGACAATACTCAGGAACAGTTAAAAGAAATAATGGATGCCATACCAATTCCAAGATAGCAATATAAATGGCCACTTTCAACCTAGCTTGCTCGCCTGCTTGGTGCAGTGATTCGAGCGTCTGTATTAGACTCTCGGAGTAAGGATTGATCCTTTACATCGCGGGTTTGAATCCAACTTTGGGACATGGAGACCGGTCCTTCGGGGAAGATCATTCATTAGGTGCTGGCGCAGAAAAAATCCCTCATTGTTCAATTGCCGTCTGTGCCAAGGACAAGTCAATGTGTAGCCCTCCACCGGCAAGTGGCGGCTTCTGCATAAGAGTGAAAAATTCTCGAGAGAGACGTTAAACAACTAACAATCAATCATCCTTTGCTATTTACATGAATTGGGGCTTCTTTCTTCCATCTCTTTGAAAGAAATATATCTTTTCTTTATTTTACCGGTTTTATCATTTTACATTATTTTAATTGTTTACTTAAGCGATCTTTTTAGAATAATAAAACATTTAGAATTTAGATTTTAATAACATGGCTGCTACCTCCATGAAAGCAGCTCTATTATAAAGTAAAAATTACATGGAGTGAAGATACAATTGACATATATATATATATATATATATATTGTTGATATGATATTTGGTTACAGGTGGCCTGTGTATACAAAGACCATAGTTTATATGTGTGGGACGTTCATGATGTTATGAAAGTCGGCAAGATTTGTTCATTTTTGTACCACAGCAGTGGTATCTGGGGCCTGGAGGTCAGTGCTTTTCTGTCTGTATGTCTGTATGTCAAACTTTCAACTGCACTACCTTTCTGTATGCCGACATGTGCAAAACAAGTCCAAAACATGAGGATTTTTTAAAAAGTCAATTCTGTGATTCTATGTTAAGCATGGAGGGAAAATAGATTAATCAAAGAATTTGTTTTTTAGATGAATCCTGGTACAACAAAGGAAGTAAGGCCAATTTTACAATCCGGGTCATTTATGACGTGTTCCTCGGACGACACCATTAGAATCTGGAATCTGGATCCACACATGGTCGAAACTGAGTGTAGTAAACGGAATGTCTACTCTAATGTAAGTGAATTTATGTAAACGGAGTGTCTTTTCTAATGTAAGTGGATTTACATAAACGGAATGTCTACTCTAATGTAAGTGGATTTATGTAAACGGAACGTCTACTCTAATGTAAGTGGATTTACAAAAACTAATGTAAGTGGATGAAACTCTAATGTAAGTGGTTAAAGTAATGTAAGTGGATTTACATAAAAGGAATGTCTACTCTAATGTAAGTGGATTTACATAAACAGTAAGTGGATTAAATTGTTAAAGTATTAAATGGAAATGCCTATTCCAATGTTATTGGGTTTATTAAAATAAATGAAATGTCTTTGTTAATTCAAGTGGGTGTATTGAAGTAAACGGTATATCCATTCTAATGTATGTGAATTTATTGTTAGCTAATGGAGTGTGTATTCTACTGTAAGCGTGAATATTGAAATGACAGGGAGGAAGCCATATTTGGATGCTGTACTGTTCATAGACGAAAGGGCCAACTAACAACTAAATTTCATGACAAACTAGATGACTTCAACTTTTTCTCGTCAACTTTCCTTATTTCTGAAGTATAATTCCGTTAACATACGTATATTGTTTTTTTCTCGCAACTTATTTGATACTCAAGAGCATGCGTCGAGTACAATCAATGTTTAAACCCAAGAAAGCTAGTTACAGATAAGTTGATGTTACTGGGTTTTCAACATCCTCTTTTAAAGTCAGTATTTCGTAAATTATATGGTTGTTATAATGATTTTGTTAGCAAATATACATGTAACCTATCATTGGATCCTACTTTGTCTGACTTTGATCATACTTATTGTTAGGCCTTTGTTTATACATAAATTTGAATATGGAATGTTCCGCCTTCCTTATCTATACATAGGGCTCATGGCGGGTGTGACTGGTCAGCAAAGGATGCTTGGGTACTTCATTCCACCTCCGGAATTTCTAGGGTTCCTAGTTTTATGCCCTGTTGTTATTTTCACTTCTTTTATTCATAATTCTTTTATTCTGCCAATGCATATCTTCAGCAAATTTTCCTCTTTTCCTAATCATAAAATCAGTAGGGATACTCACCATCCCCACTTCATCAAATTTTTTATACTTTTGATTTCAATTTTAGGAAATGCTGAAAATTGTTTATGTGGATCCAATGCATACATTTCTGAGGGATGTTCCTCGCAAACCAGGTGTGTTAAGACGTTTAATCTGATGTATTCTCAAATTGAAATTAAATTTATTTAAAGTTTAAATTCATGAAATAATAAGAATTAAAAGTAAATGCGTTTGTACATTTCATTTACAATTTTTCTACTTAATAACATAGTGAAGCGACAGCTTTAATGTTAAATAAGTGTAGGAAATATACTAAGATCCTTTATAACTTGAAATATGGAGATAACGAACAGTATTCAGAAGTCTGCCTTAACAATACAAATCAGGAGCAGAGCAAATGCGCACCTCTTAAACATCAGAGGTGGAATACAGGGCAAACGCGCACCTCTTAAACATCAGAGGTGGAATACAGGGCAAACGCGCACCTCTTAAACATCAGAGGTGGAATACAGGGCAAACGCGCACCTCTATAACATCAGAGGTGGAATACAGGGCAAACACGCACCTCTATAACATCAGAGGTGGAATACAGGGCAAACACGCACCTCTATAACATCAGAGGTGAACTACAGGGCAAACACGCACCTCTATAACATCAGAGGAGGACTACAGGGCAAACACGCACCTCTATAACATCAGAGGTGAACTACAGGGCAAACACGCACCTCTATAACATCAGAGGTGGACTACAGGGCAAACACGCACCTCTATAACATCAGAGGTGGACTACAGGGCAAACACGCACCTCTATAACATCAGAGGTGGACTACAGGGCAAACACGCACCTCTATAACATCAGAGGTGGAATACAGGGCAAACACACACCTCTATAACATCAGAGGTGGAATACAGGGCAAACACGCACCTCTATAACATCAGAGGTGGAATACAGAGCAAACACGCACCTCTATAACATCAGAGGTGGAATACAGGGCAAACACACACCTCTATAACATCAGAGGTGGTACAGGGCAAACACGCACCTCTATACAGGTGGAATACAGCGCAAACACGCACCTCTATAACATCAGAGGTGGAATACAGGGCAAACACGCACCTCTTAAACATCAGAGGTGGAATACAGGGCAAACACACACCTCTATAACATCAGGGGTGGAATACAGGGCAAACACGCACCTCTATAACATCAGAGGAGGACTACAGGGCAAACACGCACCTCTATAACATCAGAGGTTGAATACAGGGCAAACACACACCTCTATAACATCAGGGGTGGAATACAGGGCAAACACACACCTCTATAACATCAGGGGTGGAATACAGGGCAAACACGCACCTCTATAACATCAGGGGTGGAATACAGGGCAAACACGCACCTCTATAACATCAGGGGTGGAATACAGGGCAAACACGCACCTCTATAACATCAGAGGTGGACTACAGGGCAAACACGCACCTCTATAACATCAGAGGAGGACTACAGGGCAAACACGCACCTCTATAACATCAGAGGAGGACTACAGGGCAAACACGCACCTCTATAACATCAGAGGTGGACTACAGGGCAAACACGCACCTCTATAACATCAGAGGTGGACTACAGGGCAAACACGCACCTCTATAACATCAGAGGAGGACTACAGGGCAAACACGCACCTCTATAACATCAGAGGAGGACTACAGGGCAAACACGCACCTCTATAACATCAGAGGTGGACTACAGGGCAAACACGCACCTCTATAACATCAGGGGTGGAATACAGGGCAAACACGCACCTCTATAACATCAGAGGAGGACTACAGGGCAAACACGCACCTCTATAACATCAGAGGAGGACTACAGGGCAAACACGCACCTCTATAACATCAGGGGTGGAATACAGGGCAAACACGCACCTCTATAACATCAGAGGAGGACTACAGGGCAAACACGCACCTCTATAACATCAGAGGAGGACTACAGGGCAAACACGCACCTCTATAACATCAGGGGTGGAATACAGGGCAAACACGCACCTCTATAACATCAGGGGTGGAATACAGGGCAAACACGCACCTCTATAACATCAGGGGTGGAATACAGGGCAAACACGCACCTCTATAACATCAGAGGAGGACTACAGGGCAAACACGCACCTCTATAACATCAGAGGAGGACTACAGGGCAAACACGCACCTCTATAACATCAGGGGTGGAATACAGGGCAAACACGCACCTCTATAACATCAGAGGTGGACTACAGGGCAAACACGCACCTCTATAACATCAGAGGAGGACTACAGGGCAAACACGCACCTCTATAACATCAGAGGTGGACTACAGGGCAAACACGCACCTCTATAACATCAGAGGTGAACTACAGGGCAAACACGCACCTCTATAACATCAGGGGTGGAATACAGGGCAAACACGCACCTCTATAACATCAGAGGTGGACTACAGGGCAAACACGCACCTCTATAACATCAGAGGAGGACTACAGGGCAAACACGCACCTCTATAACATCAGAGGTGGACTACAGGGCAAACACGCACCTCTATAACATCAGAGGAGGACTACAGGGCAAACACGCACCTCTATAACATCAGAGGTGGACTACAGGGCAAACACGCACCTCTATAACATCAGAGGTGGAATACAGGGCAAACACGCACCTCTATAACATCAGAGGTGGAATACAGGGCAAACACGCACCTCTATAACATCAGAGGTGGACTACAGGGCAAACACGCACCTCTATAACATCAGAGGAGGACTACAGGGCAAACACGCACCTCTATAACATCAGAGGAGGACTACAGGGCAAACACGCACCTCTATAACATCAGAGGAGGACTACAGGGCAAACACGCACCTCTATAACATCAGAGGAGGACTACAGGGCAAACACGCACCTCTATAACATCAGAGGAGGACTACAGGGCAAACACGCACCTCTATAACATCAGAGGTGGAATACAGGGCAAACACGCACCTCTATAACATCAGGGGTGGAATACAGGGCAAACACGCACCTCTATAACATCAGGGGTGGAATACAGGGCAAACACGCACCTCTATAACATCAGAGGAGGACTACAGGGCAAACACGCACCTCTATAACATCAGAGGAGGACTACAGGGCAAACACGCACCTCTATAACATCAGGGGTGGACTACAGGGCAAACACGCACCTCTATAACATCAGAGGTGGACTACAGGGCAAACACGCACCTCTATAACATCAGAGGAGGACTACAGGGCAAACACGCACCTCTATAACATCAGAGGTGGACTACAGGGCAAACACGCACCTCTATAACATCAGAGGTGAACTACAGGGCAAACACGCACCTCTATAACATCAGGGGTGGAATACAGGGCAAACACGCACCTCTATAACATCAGAGGTGGACTACAGGGCAAACACGCACCTCTATAACATCAGAGGAGGACTACAGGGCAAACACGCACCTCTATAACATCAGAGGTGGACTACAGGGCAAACACGCACCTCTATAACATCAGAGGAGGACTACAGGGCAAACACGCACCTCTATAACATCAGAGGTGGACTACAGGGCAAACACGCACCTCTATAACATCAGAGGTGGAATACAGGGCAAACACGCACCTCTATAACATCAGAGGTGGAATACAGGGCAAACACGCACCTCTATAACATCAGAGGAGGACTACAGGGCAAACACGCACCTCTATAACATCAGAGGTGGAATACAGGGCAAACACGCACCTCTATAACATCAGAGGTGGACTACAGGGCAAACACGCACCTCTATAACATCAGAGGAGGACTACAGGGCAAACACGCACCTCTATAACATCAGAGGAGGACTACAGGGCAAACACGCACCTCTATAACATCAGAGGAGGACTACAGGGCAAACACGCACCTCTATAACATCAGAGGTGGAATACAGGGCAAACACGCACCTCTATAACATCAGAGGTGAACTACAGGGCAAACACGCACCTCTATAACATCAGAGGTGGAATACAGGGCAAACACACACCTCTATAACATCAGGGGTGGAATACAGGGCAAACACGCACCTCTATAACATCAGAGGAGGACTACAGGGCGATGAAGAAAAGCATGATTTCCTAAATTGAATTCCACAAGTTTCAAAAACATGCTCTTTATAATCAATTCACCTTGTGATGCGAAACCATAGTGAAAATTTAGTGATATAACATATAATACAAATTTTGTCCTTTGTTTTTATCAGGAACTTCCTTTTAATAGAAGAATTATAATTTTTCTTTTAGCAGACGAAGGTAAATCTGGAATGCGATGCATCGGAATAAGTGCTGATGGGCGCCATCTTGCTTCCGGGGATAGAATTGGAAATATCAGGTATTGTTAAAAATAGAATACCAAATACAGCCTAATGCAATAATATATGATGTAAATGATTAGTAATTAATCTCTGTGCCCAGAAAGCCTCGAGAGTCGAAACATTTCATTCCTGAGAATGTGAATTTAACTTGAATATCTATTCCTTTCTCTTTAGTTAAACAAAAAAAAAAAGAAAGAAAGAAAACCATTCCGAACTGTTATTAAGTTACCTGCTTGAAGTAATGTTTATTTGAAATTTGTTAATTTCAGGGTGCATGATTTAACAAATATGGAGGAAATAATTAAAATAGAAGCTCACGACCAAGAAATTCTTTGTGTCCAATACTCAAATCTAATTGCAGGTGGGTGAGTTTGTTTTTTCAGATCCTTGCATGGAAAAAGAAGTTACATTCTATAGATTTATTAATGACATGGATGTTAGATATTATAGATTTTTGCTTTCTTACTAAAAAAAATATTAAATAAATCAATTTACAACATAATTAATAGTTTCTGTTAAAAAGGTGATGATAATGAACAGTGTTAATTCTAAAACAACAACAAAAAACTTTACAAATAGATGAACAGGGCATAATTGTGATAAATCACAGACCCATGGGAATTCCAAAAGGTGAATCAGGTAACTAAGATAAGGCGGCAACCCCTGTCGACCGGTTACATCCGCTATATGCCCTTAAAAATAATCAGGTAGACGGAATATTCATTTTTATATGAAACAAAGGCCGTATGAAACCTGTCACTCAGAACGTCCATCAAAATAAGGAGGACTAGCTTTGAAACTTTCAAAATTTTTATTTTATTTTTGAGCTTCACGTGAGGCAAACAAGTACAGACAACATATAAATCTTAAAATTAATAATGAATGAACATAGAATGAGCATACAGTATTATTTTGAGCTCTCGAGAGTGATAAATTCAGGAATGACTCAAATATAATGTTAGTCTTAAAGTTAAATCCCCGAACTTCTGATCCGTACATTAAATCTTGAACTACAATTGCATCAACCAATTTTACAGTAAAAAAAAAACATTTTCCTGAAAATAAAATGCTATAATATTGAAACTTTTCTCCAGATGACAATTACTATCATTGTACACGAGGAGGGTATTTTCACAGTGTCTCTTTTTGAAAAAAAAAATACAACATTGGCTTTTGGTGCAGCTTGGAGCATTCATTGGATTCAAAAGAGAGAAAAAAATATAAATCCCAGTATAAATTATAATTACTTTATAATTTGACTCAAAGTTTTTTTTTTATTAAATTTTAGTTTTTATGTCTTAGGTCTACGCTAATTGCGTCTGACAGAAGGGGTCGTAAAAGAATATTATTACATAAAGTAAAAGATTTTCTTGATAAGGTCCCAAGCTGATGGCGTCTGGTAGTAGAGATCGTCTCATTCACGTCTTTAACGTGGATCAGAGTTACAATTTGATGCAAACCCTTGCTGACCATTCCAGCTCTGTTACTGCCATCAAATTCACGGAGAACGAAGAAAAAATTAAGCTGCTTAGTTCCAGTACAGACAAATCTGTTCTCTTCCGAGAGGCACACAAGGTATACCTCAATCAGCATAACATTAATTTTTTTATTGTATTAAAATATGCATTGAAGTTTGATGTTGGCTGAAGAAGCGTAATTTATTTGTTGAAATACTAGTACCATTTAAACAAGCTGGTTTTCAAGCGTTTTATTTCTGTTGCAGACTCCAGAGTGTCAGTTTGAAATTTCTAAACAACAGCATGTCGTAGTCACCAATACATTGTATGACATAGATATCGAACCCACACAAAAACATATGGCAACTGCATGTCAAGACCGAAACATAAGGTAATCCGTGTTAACTTTAAATAAACTCTATTATTAACGGGTCGATGGAAGCTTGACTGTGTTTTCTGTTCTTTTAAAAGTACATAAAACAAACGTTGGTTTCTTCCAAGAGCGCGTTCAATTTTTTTATTCTTTAGATAACACTATGATCTTGCACGAAATGCAAGCCATATCACCATGTACATAAAAAACAAGCATAACTATTTTGAAGTTAGGTGCCATTAAATGAATTATTGTAATCTAATATAGGTTACCTCATTGCATTACACATAACATACAATTCGAGTAATCTGGAAGTTGATTTCTCTATCTCTGGGAATTAAGGAAGTTCTAAACACTTCTCTCTATAGTTATATTCCACGGTACCTTTAGGTGCAAGAGATGCCTTCTCCTTCTAGGCACTTGACCCTTCCTCTGGTGTTCCCAGGGGTCGGTCTAACGATTCCTATTCTTTACAGGATTTATGAGATTGTTATCTTAATCCTGAACACGACTCGTAAATACGTCATTTTTATATTACTATCTAGGATATCAGAAACAAAATATACTTTTCTCATTCTTTACACCTGACTGCTTAATTTTCACGGGTATTGGCATGGAATGGCGATTCGTGTTCGTGCTGGTAATTTTACATTGCCTTTGTTTACATTTCATTGCAGTAACATCAATTTGTATTTGTTTACTGCACCTTATGTTAGAGTCCTTGCCATCTTACTTTCCTGCATTAGAAGAAGTATCATAGTTATTTTTGTCGCTATTGAGTGTTGTATAAATGCGTCTACACAGGTGACGTCTGATTACACTGTACAGTGACTAAGTCCTCGGATATAGCGAGAGTCCAATCGAATGTGGCGGACACATTCCTTTTACGAATTGTGTTATGCTTAAAACTTTTACAGTGTAGTGATTTTCCTTTTAATGTAAGAAATGGATAAAACGAATATATAAGACAGTCTATATAACTTTTATTTGATATCATACGCCGTTTTTGTTTGTCTCGATGGATTTGATACATGTAACGCATATATACATGCATTATATACAAATTCTCGTTTAATATGTTTTATTTTAGTGCAAAGCACTGCAATTTTTATAATGTGTAAACATTCGCATTAAATAAAAAAAAATATTCAGTGCATTAAATATGATAAATGGTTAAATTTACTTTTTATAGGGTATACAACATTGAGTCAGGGAAGCAAACGCAGTGTTACAAAGGAGCAGTTGGAACTGAAGGAGTGCTACTAAAGCTTCATATAGACCCGTCCGGTCAGTACGTGGTTACTTGTTGTTTAGACAAAAGTCTGTGTCTACTGGACTTCAAGTCGGGCGAAATTTTGGCCACCATGATCGGCCATTCGGAGAAAATCAATGGCGTGAAGTTCATGCCGGACCTGAAACGTCTGGTATCGGTGTCCAGCGACGGCTGTATCTTTGTCTGGAGGCTGCCCCCCGAACTGACCGAGTCCATGCGAGGCCGCTTGGAGGAGTTGGGGAGACTTCCTTTTGAGGCCATCAAAGGGGAGATCAACAGGTAAGAGAATTTTTTATGCTATCAAAGTTTTACAGAGAAATATGAAGAATTTCTTAATAACAACATACTTTGATGTGTTAATATTTTGCCAATCAGCTGTTGGAGAAACAATGCGTAAAGGTTTGAGAGCGGATGAGGGTTTCATTTACACATCCGTTCGTTAGAAAAGGAAATATAACCTTTTTGGCCATTGAGAATTTTTTTCACACATCATTTCTCGTTTTTTTCATGTATTGCAAATAATCAATACGTACACAGTAACGAAAATATTATTGCAGATGCGTAAACAATACTAGTTGTAAATAAAAAAAAAATAATTGTCAACAGTATCTCTAGATCTTCTGCATACATATCGTTTGTACAATGTTCTTTATCCATCGAATTATATTCTAAGCTTTCTCTGTTTTTTTTTTGTTTTCATTATTTATCACATGTGATTAACATAAAATGAACTAAACTGAGGTGAAATATTAGGAACCAGGGATCAAGCTGGTGTCGGACTTACCAGATTGCTGATCCCGCCCCTCTCTCGCTAGAAAAAGTTCTGGAGGAAGCTGTTAGGAGACCCGGTAAAGAGATGGATACAGCCAAGATCCAGGAAGAGCTAGAGCCCCAGGTACATGAAGAGTCACCTGGTATCCAGACAGAAGTACAGGCTCCCAGAAAGGAGGAACTACCAGACTTCAACAGCACGATAACAGGATTACCCGACTGGGTACAGGCGAAGGTGAGAAAGGAATAACAAGCCAGGTAAGCTTTAGGGAAGATGTCTCTAGGTGATCCAGATTATATAGTAATAATGGCTTACATGGGTCATCGTCAGATCAACAGAAAGGTAAATAATCAATGAAAATTTAAAATTATCTCATAGATATGTTTCGGGTTATAATTAATCAAATGAAGATACTACAATAACATGTAGTAAGCTTTTAGGTCTAAGTGAATGTTTTGCAAGGGTTATTTGGGGAATAGTCGGTTTAGGAGGAATTAAACGAATATTAACACAGAAAACAAGATTTTGAACTTGCAGAGGCTCTTTCATTGTACGGAGTACCATTTTAAATGATAACTAAGGATTGTACTTACTCAGAAATAAATAAGTGCTTCTTAAGAGTAAACTATACCAGGAAGGAAATGGCCTTTGCTACATGTACCTATAATGACTGGCTATTTGTTTCCAGATGGGCAGGGATATCTCTACTTCAAGGGAATCTGATCACCATCCGCAGCCGCCCTCTGGTCGTTGGGCTGTAAATAATGACAGTTTAAAGTCATGGATAAGCGGTAGAAAGGGTCCTTGTGTGGAGGGCGAGCCTCGAGGTTATTACAGTGAGTAGACATACGTAGATATCTATAAAGTAATATATTTAAATTACCATTCCAGAGGGTGTGATTGATAGACATCCATTCAATGTACTTCGAGAGTAATTTCTTTTTAAAAATATGAATTTCATAAATTTTTAAACGGATTATTCAAATTACAAGGGAACTTGTTACCTGTGAAAATCCTCTTGCCTTACTGTTTCAATGTACTATTGCTGAAATGTATTGTTGCCAGAGCCGCCCGGCGAGGAAACCTTGTCTGTGGAGGATGTTGAGAATGATGTGAAGCAAGTGGAGAATCCAGAAGATTCCACCGTCTCCGGGAATGACCCCTCAGTCGAACCGATAGACACAGTGAGTGATGCATGGATTGTAGGATATGCTTTACGTCCAAACGAAATATTTCACTAATATAAGAAAATTGCCAAATATAGAGTATATGAAATTATCAAGCCAACTGATTTGGCTGGGGCTTCATTGTGCAAAAATCTGCAAGGGTATTTCTCAAGAAATGCATCTCTTCACTTGTTTCGTTGACCATTTTGGGGAAAGAACAGTCACTATCAATAATGAAATTCTTTTGATATAAACCGACGAGAGTTGTTTAAAAAACTCTCCGCACAAAAATAAAACGTCCTAACAACTGAACAGGCAAAATGTTCTTATTATATTTAAATCTGACACGGAAGAAATTGATCAAGTATTAAAAAATGAAATTGAATCATAATTAGCAATATATTGCAATTTCGAAAATGCAACATTGATATATGTATGGAATTCTTCCAATTTTCAAAAAAGGCTATATCCAAAATTCAGTTTGGACCAACTTTGAAACATTAGGATATTACATTCATATCATGACAATGAGGACACAGCGGATGTGACTGATCAGCAAAGGATGCTCACTCCTCCATGGCACCTGATCTCACTTCTGATGTTTTGGAGGTCCGTGTTTGCTCTGCCCCTATTTTGTTTTGTTTTATGGACTTTGATATTGAATATTGTTCGTTTTCGCCATATCCTTCTTATAAAGTACTAAGTTACAAAGAAACAAGAATGAGACGGACGTGTAGATTAAGGATACGAATAATGACACAATAGGAACTCGTGTCCAATCCCTTTGACATGTTGTCTATAAAATATGTTTAAAACAAAGAAGACACAAATGTGCTCTGACTAAACTGAGAGAGAAAGAGAGAAAAAATACCCACATAAAATATGTGATTGGACTATACATTTATGAAATCAGACAGTATTACTAGTCCTATTCTCTATTGGTGAACCGGAGGAGATCCTCTGTCTGTCTGTCTGTCTAACTGACTGTTAGTCTGTCCCACTTGGCTTTCTGTATTTTATAACACTTATAGTTACTGAGCTGACGTCCGGTTTGAGAGTGTAACACGATGAGTTATAGATCAGATTTGCGTTTCTTTCTGCTTCCATAATTCTTTTTCTCAGAATTATGGCCTTTTAAGGGAGGGAAGATTACACTTGTTGGTTGGAGACTAGTATTGCTTGTGCAGTACTTTGCTTCTTTGTTAATGTCTGCTTTCTTATAACATGTAAAGAATCTTTGCAGGATACGGAAGAGGGAAAGTCAGAAAATGAAGAAAGTCTGACTTCCATAAATCCGCGAGTGAGCCTCTCCTCCAAGTTTTGGTCTAAGTCACAACTAGAAAACATCAGGTTAGTGATTCTGACTGGATTAATAAAATATATATATACTCTAGATTTCAGTCTCAGGCCCAGTAGAGGAGCATCAGTTTTAATGGTTGAAAATGGTGCAAATAAATTGAAATGAAGGCTCTGTAATATTTTGAATATTTGAATATCAAAAAGAAATGTAGCCAGAAAAATGTATTTTTTTTTTTGGTCATTCAACATGTTCAAGTGAAAAAAAAATGCTGATTTTTAAAAAAAATTTATAAATACCAATAAAATTCTATTGTTTGATAATATAAATTCAAAAGGCATTATCTATTTCTTACATGCAGTGGACTTTTTTTTCATTCTAGTAAAATGACAATGCAGATCTGTATGCAGCAGCAAGACTTGCTTAATGTGAGTTTACAATCATTTCTAACTATCGTATGGTAGCCCATGGTCAGATTTAAATAGTACTTTTGCAAAGGTAGGTAGTATATGATGGAATGTAGCTTGTAGGATGGTATTCAGTGGTAAATTGTGATTTTCTGATGCCATTTGATGGTCAGATTTAACAAATTTGAATTTCCTTTATAATTACATTTGTCCCATATATTTACTAGTAACAAGTCTAGCATATAAGTTCACGTGGTCAGTTTTTAGTTGGGTACTTTTTATAAAACACATTTTTTACTACCATGCCCCGTTCTGAGGTCATGAATTATATTTTTACAGTAGAGACTTATTAGTATATGATTAAATGTTAATTTTAATAGAATTTTCACCGACCTTGAGAGTCAAACATGCCACAATAGACTTGAACTGTTGATAATAGTTTTGTTTAAATATCGGAATATTGTATTTTGATCCATAACCTTAACATTTAAAAAAAAATTCCATCAAAATATTAGGTCTATTTATTTTTACATATCAAATTAATAATAAGAATGTATTCACTGGTTTTATGTTTAATAAATCTTAGATCAAACAAGACAAAATGCAAGAAAACCTCACCCAGGAAAATGAAGAAACCAAAGAGTCTTCATCTGGAACGAAGGAGAAGGAAATCATGCTTGACCTGCCATGCATCTTTCCTCAAGAGATTTCCTCACTTTCAGGACATCAACCAAATGTAGCTTCAGAGAAAAACTTGGAAGATATCCAAAAAGAAAAGGAAGATTGCACTCTTACACAAGGTATCCAAGAAGGAGATGACAGTTCTTTAAGGCGGGAAATGGTGAATACACTTAAGGAATTACTTGAAGCCACAAGACAGAATGGACGTCTGTTGATGACGTTAGACTCCAGTATTAAGAAAAATACGATGGTATTACAAAACTTAGTTGACTTAAACAGGGCAAAACGGAGAGAGGAGGAGAGTTGTTGAAAAACTAACTTTTCGCAGGTCAACCGACAAGGAAAGAGAAACCCATATTTATCTCAAGTCACGAATCAGATATAGAAGGCAATAACACATCTCCTTTCTTAAAAAAAGATATAAGTATAATAAATATAATATAATTATTTAATTAAAGATGGGAATTATTGTCATATTGTTTGTAAATTTTATATTTTATTTGAGGCATTGTTTTGAATTGATATCATCATATTAAAAACAACTAACTGCTCTGTTTTAACTTAATAGCATAAATCACTTTGTTGACATTTATATTGCTCGATGACAAATATTTTATTGTATTAATTTGAAAAAGATTAATTGGCAACCCCATGCTCAGTTGAGCTGGCACATGTTACAAGGGATAACAATGGTAATTACCAATTTCATCCACAGGCACTTGGAGTGTGGACCCCCCTTTTCCATTTTGTTTTCTTTTAAAATATCGGGTCGAGTCACCCTTTTCCTATCTATTCTAATATGCGCCATATGTTATCAAAAATGTAACTCTTTTTTCTCTACTACGTGTTCTTAAATATATAGTTGTCGACTGATACATAATAAACCTTTTCCTTCTTGTACAAGGATAAGGCTACCCCGTTCATTGCTCTTTAAAACAGAAAATAAATAGAACACAACTACAAATAAATACTGATTGAGAATTACGCAAAATAAAATAAAATTTATAACATCCCGTCCATGTTAAACCCCTATCACACCGGGTCTGCGTCCTCACGGCGATCGCACAGCGTCCATAAAAATGCACACCCCGAGTTGATCGCAGTAGAGTCTCCTACGGCGCCGTATTAATGCGGCGAGATCTCCACTGCACGCTGAAGGGTAACGTAGGGACTCCTAAAACGCCAGGAGACGGCGATCACTTTGGGCATGCACAAAGTACGCGCCGTGTGATCGCGGTCTGATAAGATCGCAGTAGAAACGTAGTGTGATCGCCGTAGCAGCGCGGTGAGATCTCCAACAACGCAGTGAAAGCTCTATACTAGCATAAATTATATGCAAAATTGAAGTCACATACATGTATATATTCTTGTTTGATATTGTGAAAACTTTACACAATGCATGATGTCTGATTAAACCTTCATTAAACAGTTCTATTAGATGTAAAAAGAATATAAAGTCCACCAAGAACCTCTTGTATACGTAATAACTCTCATCATGCTCCTGTGCTAAAAATAGCGACATGTAATACAATAAATACCAATAAAACAAGCGGGGCGGGACACTTTGAGAGGGGTAAGAGAGGTCCTAGGGAGTTTTGGTATAAAATTACATTGCAAAAGCTCAAAATCTTCTTAACATATCGCCCGGAAAAGATAGTGCTTCATACAGACAGAATGTATAAATTTACGACCTTGACCTTTGACCTTTTGACCTCAAAATTAAGAGAGGTCTTGCTTGGGCCATATAGAGTTGTTATGTAAAATTTCATTGCAAAAGCTCAAAGGGTTCTTGAGATATCGTGCTGAAACGAAAGTGTAATAAAAGAGAGAACTTGCGAATTTATGGCCTTGACCTTTGACCTATTGACCTCAAAATCAATAGAGGTCTTCTTTAGCCCATAGGGAGTTGCTATGCAAAATTTCATCGCGAAAGCTCAAAGCTTAAGGGTTCTCAAGATATCATGTGGAAACGAAAGCGTTACAGACAGACAGAAAGACTGACGGACGGACGGACGGACAGACCCAAATTGATATCCCCCACTTTTCAAGCGGGGGACAAAAATTTTACAACGCGGCGAGATCTTTTGAACGTAGTTAGTTTATTTCAACTGCACAATGGAATCAAGATAGGCATGAAACAGAAACAATTGTAGATCAATTATGTGAGGCAAAATTCAAGCAGAGTAAGTTGTGGCGCTTTACAATGTTATATAACAATAGGTAATTTGTATTTTTATACAATATATGTACTTTTTCATATGCGGTGAAAAAACTCAAGATAGGTGAAAATGAATGCATGCATGATGACTTAATAGATTCGAGACGTAAATATTAATTGTATGATAGCATTACAATGAGTAATTCCAGCTCTACATAATGGAGGGCTTGGACACCCTAAATTTAATTGTACATTGTCCGCTAAATCCTTAAATCTACATAATAGTCATATTTGAGCCTGCAATCCCCACTTATCAGGATATCACTTCTTCTTAGGGGCTTGACAAGAGGGACAAATTCGGCCTCTATCATAAAAGGGATCAGAATTTAATGAGACATCAATTGTTCACCAGTTAGGGTAGATTGGTTTCGCCTTTTTAATAATTAACTAAATATTTAACAAGTCTTACTTAGCTATAATTATAATATAAGGGTTTATCCGGAAATTCACTGAAACCAGAACCGGAAGTGCCCATTGTCAAGGCGTACACGTACGCAACGACACCTCAACAGGGCTACAACACAAGAAATACTATTGTGGCAGGAACCTAAGTGCATGTTCAAGTGCTCGGTACTAATTAAAAATTAATCGAAGTCTCCTCAATTATTCTAATTACAAGGAATAAATTGGAGGAGTGGGGAAAAAGACACATGTACTGCAGGCTCAATATTGACGGCAAGGTGCAGACAATTTTGCTAAGCTGCAATGCGTCGCAACCCTATATATCATGAAAAGGACTTTTTCAGCAGCAGAATCTAGAGGACGACCAAGTCAATACATAGAACTAACCTTTAAAAAAGTTTTTTTCTTTAATAGTGTAAATTCTTTAAAAAGCAGTTGTTTGGCCCTTAATTCGTTTGAATGTAGGATAAATGTATTGTACGTTACGAATTTTTAATTCTATGGTGCCTTCACGTTTCTACATTTTGTGTCAGGTGCTTTAATAAATTCGATTAAGTGAAAAGAAATTGGTTTGCTTCTGTTTATCCTGTATATTTTTTTTATTTATATTGTCAAAAATCAAAATAATTTAAAATAAAAGCAGTGTAAAGTAAAAAGTTACCTGGGGACTTTTCATAAGTATTTTTTATTAGGCAATCACTCAGGTAATACAAAATATAATACAGGAAAGAGACCAAGGAATGTAAATTAATGTGAAATGATATATATATCTACCTCCTCCGATTAGTGGTGTTGACTTCCTAACACTACTAGAGGTCCAAGGGCCAAATAGATCACCTGAGTATATGCAATGATTTAGAGAGTCCAAAGAAGTATAAAATAAACTGATGGATAAAGCTTTGTTGCCGAAATAAGCAAAAGTAAATAAAAAAGATAACCAGGATCATTGAAATAATTAGTTAAGTTCCCTGTAACAACTAATAAAGTAAATTCTACTTGCCCCTGTTAATCAATATTTCAATTGAGACAATAAACAAACAAGTATAGTGTCTTATTTTTATTTTTAAGCTTGTATTATTAACTCTCACATTGGTCTCTCTTGGTCTTTGAAAAACAATTGATAAGATTTGTTATGATAGTCTAATTTTTTATTTATCTATTATTTACAAATCCATACATGTACATGGTCATTAAAATTATGAAAATACCTTTTAAATTTTACAATAAAAAGCTTGCACAATTCTCTCATATTCTTTGAATCTTTTAAATACATTATTTACAGTAATGAAAAGTGAATAGCAAAGTTGACATCTTTCAATAGAGTACAATTTAATTTCGTATTAATAAATTTACATTTTCGTAATAAAATATATTCTGATAGGTCCTAAATGGGATTATGTAATAACATGTATTCATATCGAATTCAAAATTATTTTTGTGTACAATCCGTACAAAATATTTGCCTTTCTTCCAATTTTCTACAAATAATGCATTTTTAGATAAAGTCTAATATTCAAATATACACAATAAAGCATTACTAAATCATAACACCGCATACACATACAATCATAGTTCAAAACATTTTTGGCATACCCCCGTACGATATATAGATCTGACGTCACTTCAAGGTGGATCTCAGGGATTGATACAGATTTAAATTAAACCCTCCTCCTGTAGACTGAACTTATAAGAATAGTACTAGAGATGTGCAAAAAATCTCTTTGTTTGCAAATATAACTTATTTGACGTTGGCTACACAGACTATATGATATAAACGAGTTCTTTTATCCAATCGAATGACGCTTTGCAAAAAAAAAAAAATATTAGAGATTGTTTTTGAACTTTGGATATTGTACAGATTACCATGAGAATGTTAGACTTTACCGTAAAATTATTGATTTCACTGCAGATATTTGATTTTCTTCACAAGCGGATCAAACATTGATTTCTGAGCAACAAACAGATTGTCATTTGTATCTATACACAGTCCACAGGGTATACTCAGTTCACAGTCTATGAAACGGAGGAGCTGTCCATCCTGGTCTATGATGTGGACACAATCATTGAAAGGATCGGCTGTAAGGATGTGACACAGACTGTCTGTGGTGATTCCTTGTGGACTGAATGGTTTGTTCTTTGGGGCAGGAGTATGTCCATTGTACCTGAATCTCAGTTTCCCTTTCTGATTCACCACCACTACTTCTTTAGCCCCATTGTCAGACACACAGATATCCAGGTTCCTGTTCTCAGTTATCGTATGTCTGTAAAGAATGCCAGATGAAAAGAGAGATTTACCAATATCATCAAACTGAATGGTTTGTTTCTCTGTGGAGCCAGAGTAACGGACAACTTTTGATTTTCTGAAATCAACGCTGTCCATGATAACCAGGAGGTCATCAGTGGAGGTACTGCAGACATTGCGTGGTTTCCATTTCTGTAGTATGATCACCTCTTCTATCTCTTCATTCTTCACAATATTCACGCTTCTACCGTCATAATCGGTATAAACTAGATATCCCTTCTTGGTCACTGCTATGCCTCCAGGCATACGATCTGATTTGGTTCTGAATGCCTTGAGCTCTGATCCCTGATTGATGCTATATCGTCTCAAATCACTGCCATTCCCCTTTGTCCAGATTTCTTCATCATTCAGACAGACCACACCGGAAATGTAAATTTGCTGAGTGCGAAGGGTTGTGACAGTCTCTGGTACATCAAGCAGCTGTTTGGCTGGAGGACAGGATCCAACTTCTGGTGATTTCTGTGTTGTCTTCATGCTGTAGCCTTGTTCTTCTGATATTAAAGAACTTGGAGATAAGGCTCCAAAAATTTTTCTGAATTCTTCTTCT